CCAGCCTCATTACCATCATCATCAAAACCGACCTCCGGTTTATCATCAGCCACCAAGGCCAATATCGCATCCATACCATGACCACGTTCTTAATAGGCGGAGAGACAACCATCTTGAAGCTGTGATTGAGGGTTTCATGGAGAGCCAAAGAAGATATAACCGAGACACCGGGACAAAGCTAGAGTTCATGCGATATGAACTAGATGGAAAGCTCGGAGAACTCTCTACCCAAATAGAGAGAGTAGAGTCAAGATGTTAGACATGGAGGAAGATTTGAAGAAGCAAGGCGAGGCCATTGAAGACAATAGGAGAGCGATACACTTTACCAAAGTTTCCACCAAGGAGATGGAATCACTTAGATGAGAAGATCACAAGTCTTGATAACAACCTCGATGGCACCACCAAGAGTCTCAATTCAATCACAGCAGTAGCTCATCAAGCTAAGAAGGAGGTGGCCGAAGTAAGCCTAAAGGAGAGGCAATGTTACTCGAAGATGTTCATGTTGGTGGAAGGGCAAAAACAAGTGAAGCATCAATCCGAGACTTGCACATCTCTTTAGACAAGAGATGCCAAGATATCCAAAGGAGAACTAAAGGAGCTGAAGAAAAAGCCGAGGAGTCTCCAAGGAAGTCAAGGATCTAAGCAATCGCCTTAGCCATATTGGAAGAGAAGGTCTTAACCGGGCAAAGACAACCGATCAAAGCACAACCATGCCGCGCCCGTCTTTGTTGTAAGAGAGACCGACCCAAGAGTGATTTGGGATGAAGTGAGAGTAGAGCCGACCAAGACAGAGCCACGAGGTTAACCACTGGAATAAGAGGGAGAATGCCACCAAAAAGGGAAGATCCTTGCACAAAGATACTCACAACGCCTTCCAAAGGAGAAAAGAAAGACGAGACTATCACTTGAAGAAGACTATAGATGATTTCAACTTTATGGCCAAGAGATTCCCTATGGTGTGACATTTGATAATGCTTGCAACAAGAGCCCATGCAAGACCTAGATTGGAAACAAGATTGGAGTCTATCTGAAATGGAGGAGATGTACAAGGAAGCAAGAGAGGGAATGCCTAAACCTAGGATTCTACACAAGCTTCATGACCCAGGTTACTTCCTTATACATTGCTCTATCAATGGAAGCTACTTTGATGATGCTCTTTGCGATTCCGGTTCTAGTGTGAACCTTATGCCGACCGAGACAGCCAAGAAGTTGGGATTGATCGATTCAATTGTGAAATCCGGCATGGATTTAAAGCTAGCTGATTCATACCTAACCGAACCACTTGGAGAGGTGAAGGATATTCAGCTTGATTTTGGAGGTTGCATAGTTCCAGCCGACTTCTATGTAGTGACCATGAAGGATCCGGAGGACTTAAAGCTTTTGCTTGGAAGATCATTCCTAGCCACAGCCGGAGCGATCATGGATTGGCCTAATAGAAGAATCTCTCTAGCCAATGTTGACAATGACACCTTCTACAATGCTGCACCTCCCGGTTTCTCATCCAAGCGATTCGCTACACAAGTGGAGGAGAGTGCTCATTAGTAAGAGGTGAATCACATGGCTACTTGATCAAGGAAGTTCTACAAGATGAAGATGCACTTGGAATCATCAGGCAACAGGAAGTTCTTGGAGCCACCATACCTACTTAACTAAGAACACAAAGGAGTCGAGCTATAAAGACTTAAAACAAGCGCTTATGGGAGGCAACCCATATTTTCTTATCCCTTCCTCTTTTTATTTTTATTTTTCTTTTTAGAAATACTTATTTGTTCTATTTATCTCTCTGATTTTTTTGAGAGCTTAATAAATTTTATATACACAAAAAAAAAATTGTTTTAGGAAAAAGTACCAAAAGGAGGGTCTACATGAAAAATTGGATTGGATAGTCTACATCGCCATGAATCGACCAGAAAGATTAACTATCTTTGGTAAAGTGTTAATTGTTGAGTCTAGTTCGAGTCCCACCCATGTTTCAAGCAGCAGAAACTCCAAAAGAGCCGCGGATCTACACAATACGGCCATTAGAACAATTTTGCAAAAAGAAAAGGTAAGTAACACCTCTACTCAATTGTCATTCTTTTAAACACTATTTCTATCAGATTAAACCTATGGCAACTACTTGGATCTCTGATCAAGACCCAAAGTATATTAGGTTTCCACAATCAAGTCTTTGATTGAGAAGTTCATATCACTTGAACATCTCAATCATTGACAGAGTGTAACAAAAAGAATAGTAGTGTTTTTTCAGATCAAGATATGACAGGAAGACCGGTTGAGAACATCAAACAAACAAGGCGCACAACAAAAGCCACAACCGGCCAAAGGAGGAGATACAAGCCAAACATGCGAGATTAGGCGAAGTCCAACCAACTTCAATCCAGGAGGGATAAAAAAGTAGTTTAGTCGAAGCAGAACTCAATTGGCCCTAGTGAAATAGGAGATATCACACTTGGAACCAATCTCTCGACCATTATCGATGAACTAAGAGACCATGCTCAGCCATCTCACAAACGGCACGTCCAAAGTCAACCAAACTTCACAGGCGAGCTCAAAACATCATGTTGGTTGGCAAATACAAAAGATAGGACAGGAAAAAGTGCATGGATTTAGCTTGCATGTTCGATTTATATAGTCTTCTCTTCTTTTGCATTTGTACATAGCTTGCATGTTCGATTTATATAGTCTAGAAGTAGCAATTTCTCCCTAAGGTTGAGATGCGGTTCGACTCATATCTCTCCGCCTCTCTCTCATAAGGATTCATGAGATCTCTTATACTCTCTATGACTCATTGTTGAATTATGGATCCCTTCATTGAGGACATGACATAATTGCCTTCAAAAATCGATTGTTAAATAAACGGGAAACCCTATGGTTCTCCATCTTTTTTTGCGCTTAATGCTTGTTGCTAGAGTAGATAACTAGTGACTTGATTATAGGTTGATATACTCTCTAAAAGCTTGTTATATCTCCGGATATAGTATTTGATGGGCAAATCGTTTTAGGCTATGAAAGTAGACCTAAAGAGTTTTGTGAACAATCATTACTTGAGTGTAATGCATGTCTCGCTCTACAATGACCAACGAAAGCTAAGCCCATTGGTTTAAGAGACATAGGGGATTGGAACCTCGAAAGTGGAATAATCCTTCCTTAGTGTTTTAAGTTCAAAATAATAGGATTTTAACAAACTTTTCAATCGACTTGGCATGTGTTTTCAAGGGAGTTTTCTAATGATTCAATAATGTTGTTTCTATAGAATTGCATCATGTTATTTGCTTATTTCATGTGTTCTCAACAACACCAAACCCTTGCAGCGTTTGATTTAGTTTAGATCTTTAAACTATATGATTGTGTAATGTGTGAAATCCAATCCCTTATAGTTCAACCCCTAAGTACTACAATTATATGTTGTGCACTTGCAAATCTAGTTGTCTTTAGGGATTTATTACTTGTATTCATCCCATCTAGATGCCCACTTGGTACATCAACGAAAAGAACCCACCACCGCTGAAATATGAATCTCAGGTGAGAACCTACCTGGTGGCTCTAAAAAGAGTGTTTCTTCGACAAGAACAGAGACATACGCATTACAAAGGAAGAGATAAATGATTCCTTAGAGAATCTAAGAATCGTCATGCAAGATCTAATTCAGATGATCCAGAAGATGGATGTGTCGACATAAATCGTCAATGCGTCCGGAAGCAATGCATCTATTGCAGATTAAGCATTGATGATGACCATCGAGAAAGAAGATGATGATGTGTTTCCTGATGATAGATTACCCGATCGAAGATGCGGCTGAGGAAGAGGAAGAGGAAGAAGAGGAGTGGTCTAGAGAGAGTCGTTTCTGTTTTTACTTATGATGACCCTAAGATTAAGGCTAAGATCGATGAAGCTGATAATAAGAATAATAAATTTTGTAACAGTGATAAAAAGTGGATGGTGCAGTATATCGAGCTGTTATTAACGCTTTGTAGAAGCTGTGCAATGTAGAAGGATCATAGATTGTATATGGATAAGGGAAACCGAATATATTGAAGCTTAATTTATGCATACCGAATCTGTTGACTTGAAGGGTTTGGCAATTGGTAAAGCGATTAAAGAGAACAAGAATGGAATGCATTTCAGATGTTGATGGTTTTTGCATTCAAGTTTGTGAGAGGTGTTGCTTAACACATATTTATTGAAGAGGCATGTCTCCGGCAAAATTAAGAGTTTGTATTTTATGGGTGAAGAAATAACACCAACACAAACGTGCTCCAGCTATTTTAATTGAGAAGCTATTATGCAAAGTTGTTAAAATAAAACAAGTATGTCGTACTTTTCTACCATTATATTGTCTATTTTTATATATAACTAGGTTGAAGTCCGCGCTACGCGCGGTTGGTTTTGTTACTTTTTCTCATTTAGTTTAGTTTTTATTTTCATGTTTTGAAAATTTTGTTTTTAAAAAATGATAATAATATAATAATCTCTATGATGCATTACCTAATGTAACGTGACGTGACTGACTGTTTCATTTTCTCTATTTTATAATTTATAGATTGCAATTATAACATCATATATAATTTTGCCAAAACTAATTAAATTCAATAATTTCAATTGACTTTGAATGACAGTGAAATTCTAACATGTTCAGTTAATTAATCAGTTATCTTAAATATTGAATTGATTTAGGAAAATGCAAGTCACACATAATGCATTCTTCTCAACTTCAATGAAACTAAATTGTCAATTCTGTTGAAAAAGAAAGATAATATATATCTCAATTCTTGCTCAGACTCTAAATCTGAAATACAACTTTCATAGGCCGTGTGTATGGAGATATTAGCCAGATTATTTATTTACTTCACATTTGAGTGGTTCTCTCGTTTTATTGGATAAAATTAAATCCTTACGTGGGTGTTTTTATTTGGCCACCGTATGTTGGTTTGCAAAAATTTGGAGGACTATGTAAAGTAAGGAAATATTATAATATAGGCTACGCAGAACTTTTATATAAAATTATTAGAATCATGATCTAAAATATAAGAATACAGTTGTGAGTAAATAACTAAATATATATAACATTTTCAAATTATCATTTTTTTCTATGTCTTCATCATCTTGACAATCAGGAACTGTCAACATATATGCCAACCCCCTTGACAAGAGTTATTAAGATTGATTAAGGGTGAGATTAACTCTAGATTGCTTGGTTAGCTTAGAAATTTCGCTGAGCTAGCATGTCGATATACTGTAAGAGCTTCTGTTAGGTTTGTGCCTTGATGTCTGCTCTAGGGTCTTGGATTGTTAGCTGAGTTTTTCTGTTTAAGGAGTTTCAAGAGTTCCTTTGTTTTGTCTTCTAATTCATTGCTTTTTTTTCATCTAGTATCCCCTCCATACAGAGAGAATTATTGGCATATTTTAATAGGATTAATAAAATTGGATAGTTTGACCATGGAATAAGATCAATAAGAACCTGATCCCATACACAGTAATCAGACTCCATGAGATGATTCCATATAACCGACATAACTTTCACCGGAACTGTAAAGTAATCGTTCAACAGTTTATGTTAGCCTGCAACTACAGACATACTTTGCGGTAACACCAGAGCTTAGATGCCCTGTTGGTTCCTTAATACAAGTGTATGCCACTGCTAGATTATGGTCTTTTATCCTCCAACCTTTCTGAAAAATATATCACCCAACACTTAAAGTTAAAGCAATAAGAAGTTTTCTATCTGAACAATAACATTGAGCATGTTTGTACTTATCTTTGTATAAAGTGAAAGTAAAGAGCCACCGCGTAAGCCCTCGGGTGATTCATCTTTCAGTTATTAAATGTTCTACAAAGCAATAGAGTAACTGTCGATAGGTTTATGGACGATTTTGAAGCTGTTCCCTATTGGTAATACTTTATATGGTGATTAATGCATTGTGACAACGCAAGTACGTTTCCAAGAAACGATTCAAGACCTCCGTCTAACCATCAGATTGTGGATGAAACGCCGTACTGAACTTAAGGTGAGTACCAGCTTGACGAAACAATTCTTTCCAGAATGAACTCAGGAAGATTCTGTCACGTTCAGAAACAATAGACCCTGGAAATCCATGAAGACGAACCACTTCTTGCACAAACTTGTTCGCTAAATCGATCGCTGTGAATGGATGCTTCAACTTCAAGAAATGAGAAAACTTACTAAGTCTGTCAACCACCACGAGAATCACATTCACGCCTTGTGAAACCGGAAGACCCTCAATAAAGTCCATCGAAATGTCTTCCCAAATCTTGTTTGGAATCGGTAAGGGTTGCAATAGACCAGCGGGACGTAATGTTGAGTATTTATGCCACTTGCAATCATCACATTCCTTCACATACTTCTGTATATCCTTCTCCATCTTCTTCCAATAAAACACATGTTGGATCCGCTTCATCGTCATTAAAACTCCAGAATGGCCGCCTACAACACCCGCGTGAAATTCACGAAGAATCGTGTTAATATGAGACGATGACCGTGGAATAACCAATCATCCATTCCGCATTAACTTTCCTTCGACTACTGAAAATTCTTTCCTCTCTTCTTTGCCTTCCACCACTCGTTTCAATTGGTTCTGTATCTGCTCATTCTCAGAAATCTCTTTAAAAATGTCCTGCAATTGTAAAGCTGCTGGAACCGTAATGGACATCAACTGGCCTGAGCTTATCTTCTCTTCCTCATACACAATGAGAGACAACCCGTCGGCTGCCTTATTCTCCACTCCTGGCTTGTAAATGATCTCAAAGTCAAACCCCATTAGTTTGATAAGCCATTTCTGATATTCCATCGACAGCTCCCTCTGTTCCATCAAAAATTTCAAGCTTTTTTGATCTGTATGAACGATGAACTTCCTCCCTAATAGATAGGGCCTCCATTTCTGTATCGCCAACACTATAGCCATTAATTCCCTTTCATAGATGGGCTTGATCTGCTCTTTGTCTGTCAAACCCGAACTAAAGTAAGCTATAGGCCTCTGATTCTGCATCAACACTGCACCAACGCCATACCTCGAAGCATCTGACTCAACCACAAAAGTTTCAGAAAAATCAGGCAATGCCAACACAGGCGCTGTCATCATAGCCTCTTTTAACTCCTCAAATGCTTTCTGCGTCTTACTCGTCCATTCAAACATGTCCTTTTTTAGCAAATCAGTCAAGGGTCTTGCAATGGAACCATATCCTCTCACAAATCTTCTATAGTATCATGTCAATCCCAAAAAACCTCTTAGCTCTTTCACTGTTTTTGGTATTGGCCACTCCTTCATTGCTTCTGTTTTCGACGGGTCAGTAGCTACTCCTTTCTCTGAGATAATATGTCCCAAGTACTCCACTTGAGTCTGACCGAAAAGGCATTTCTTCTTGTTCGCAAACAACTTATGCTCTTCAAATATCGACAACACCGTCTTTAACTGAGCTTCATGTTATGATAATGTGTTGCTAAAGATCAAGATATCGTCGAAGAACACCAACACGAAACGCCCCAGAAAAGGCCTGAATAGTTCGTTCATTAGGTCTTAAAACGTTGCTGGTGCGTTTGTTAACCCGAATGGCATTACCAGAAACTCATAATGACCGTTCGTTGTTCGAAATGCAGTCTTCTTCACATCACTCTCCTGCTTTCGAATTTGGTGATAACCAGCTCTCAAGTCTAGCTTCGAGAAATATTTGGCTCCATGAAGTTCATCAAGCAGTTGGTCTATCACCGGAATTGGGAACTTGTCTGCAACTGTCACTTTATTCAGTGCCCTGTAATCAATGCAAAAACGCCAGCTTCCATCTTTCTTCTTCACTAAGAGTACGGGACTTGAAAAAGGACTTTTGCTTGGCCTGATAGTTCCCGCTTTCAACATCTCACTCACCAGTTTTTCCATTTCCTCCTTGTAAGCATGTGGATAGCGATATGGCCTCACGCTAATCGGTCCAGAACCGGCTACCTGATTGATTGCATGCTCTCTCCCACGTACTGGTGGCAGCTTCGTAGGTTCAGCAAACACTTCAGCAAAATCGTCCAATACGAGTTGTATCTGTTCTGGAACCACAATACTTTCTTCCTTCTTACTCACTACATACAACTCCACGTCCAACTCTGCATACTCCACCCATTTCGTCTCTTGCATCTGCTTCAAGGATTTCCCGGAAGATTGAAGTTCAGGGTCGCCAAACAATGTGATCTTCTCGCCTTTGTAATTGAATGACATCTCATGATCCTCCCAATCACATTCACACTTTCCTAGCGTCCTCAACCATTGAACTTCCAAGATTATCTCTGTGTTGCCTAACTCCAGCACGAAGAAATCAGCCGTGAACTCGTGATTCTGCAACTCCAATGACACATCCTTACACACTCCCGAACCATTGACTGTTATTCCTGTGCCCAACAAAATTTCAAACGTTCTGTTCTTAGCAGGTGTGAGATGTGTTTTGCTTAGAACAGAAGGGTAGATGAAATTGTGCTTGGCACCACTGTCAATCATCACTACCACTTTAGTCTTTCCGATCGTTCCCCAAAGTTTCGTCACACCCGGAGAGTCTACTCCAAGGAATGAAAAAAGTGATAGTTGTATTGACCCTGGCTTAACAACCTCCATCTCATTTTCCAATCCTTCATTCCAATCCTCTTCTACAATCTCAACCTCCTCTTCATTTACCACAGTAAACACTTGTAGCATTATGTTGTGACAAGTGTTTTGATGTTCCCGGGACCACTTCTCTGGGCATTTGTAATACAGTCCCAACCTTCGCTTCTCAGCTATCTCTGCCGGACTCAATTTCAGCATCCCACTGTAATTCCTTCCTCCATTATTCTTCCACGGTGGCTTTGCATTCTGACTCTGAGTCTTGCTCGCTTCAGATGGTTCGTTGTTCTGTATTGATGGTTTGGGGCTATCTGTGCTTGAGCTAGTGCTCCAATTCCTTTGAGAGTTATATTGTGAAGCCGAACGCAAAGGAAAAGATAACCCACTCCTTCTGAAGGGATTTGCAACTTCCGCCATGAATTTACAAAAGATGCTATCCTCCATTGATATCACCATGCTGAACAATGCTGATAACCCCCTTGGTTTCTGCATTTTAACAACTTCTTGCATCTCAGGTTTCAATCCCAAATAAAAGACGTGGTCCAAATTCTCTTCTTCGGCTCCCGTAACAATCGTTGTGAGTTCTTCAAATTCATTTACATACTCAGTTACAGGACCTTTCTGCTTCAGCGCAAACAACCTCATTTGTGGATTGTCTTCCATTTTCTGATTAAACATTGCTATCAATCTCTTCTTGAACTGAACCCAATCACGAAACGGATCTCGACTCATCTCTTTGTTGAACCAATGTAGAGCCGGGCCTTGCAAAGTGATAAACAACACCTCCATACGTTCTGCGTCATTGTAATTCCCCAGGCGGAAAAACCTCTCCACTTGATTGATCCAAGTATACGGATGCGATCCGCAAAATTGAGGTAATTCCACTTCCTTCAACATATTGTTTCTATTCTCTAAGACATTGTTGATTCCCCGATAACCTACATTTCTATTTCCTCCAGCTTCAGCCGGAAATGAATTTCGTACCTCACGAACTCCGCTCGACGGTGACGCGAAATCCTCCCGAGTTACTGGATCCAATCGTTGTTGCGCCACCAGCTGAGCTAATGTCTCCGATATACGCGACATGTTCGCATTGAGCTCTGATATGTTCTGATCTACTGAATCCATTCGTCTGGTGAATTCCGTGTGATGCTCCTTCACCTGATTTCGCAGATCCGCTACTTCGCCGTGAAATTCTTTCGTCAGATCGTCGAGTTTCCCCATTCCGATGTCGCGAATTCGCTTATGCACCGCACCAATTTGTTAAGAGAATACTTGATTGATTCCGATAACAAAAGTACAACGTAGATCGGGATCGGTACCTCTCCGTCACCGAGCTACACTCTCTCTCTTGATCCGGGAACAAGCTCCCGATCACTCTCTCTCTAGTTTGTTACAATAAATCTCTGGATAATTCTTTAAAGCTGTACAAGTATATGAACGAAGCCTTTTTCATTCAATTAAGCTTCCAGCTCTAAAGTTGGTTACACGTCATCCGAGTTTGCTTGACCGGTCTTCTTTCTTCTTCGTACGTACCGATTTAGCACACTAACAAACATTTGCTGTCCGAATGGTGTACCTCCATATAGACCAATTGTATCCAAGCTTGGAGCAGACTCTGTAAACTCCTTCTCAACCTGACGAGCAAGCTCTCTCGTTGGAGCTAAAACCAAGCAAAGAGGATTCTTTCCACGCCTGTCACATCAAAAGATAGATAAGACACCAAAGGAAATGTCAAATCTTTGGAGAGTCACACTGTAAACACAAAGTCAAATCCAGGAACTTTAACAAACCCATGTTTAGCGTTGAATTTGATGATTTTGTCAATGATTGGAATCCCAAAAGCAAGCGTCTTTCCAGTTCCAGTCCTAGCACGTCCGATCATGTCACGGCCTTGCATCGCCGGCTCAAGCACAGCTTTCTATTCAACCAAAACAAACATGAAAAAACTCGAACTTTAATTGATCCAATGCAGAAATTCGACAATCTCATAAGCAAATGGTAATGGAGAAGAAGATCGAACCTGAATAGGAAAGAGTTTATCGATTCCTCTACCACTCAAAGCTTTGACAATCTCCGGAGATTTCCCGAGCTCAGATATCGCGAGCCCATCACCGCCGCTGCTGCCACCGACACTCTCCAGAGTGAAGAAACAGCTAGGGTTTTAGGTCAAGTGATTGATACTCTGAATCTATCTCTTGTGCATTTGGTTCTTCATGATTCAGCTCTAGGGTTAGCTTCAAATTGGGTTTCAGAGAATCCCCAAATCGTTAGAAGCGTGACGCTTGTTGACTCCAGCATTAGCCCTGCATTGCCTCTGTGGGTTTTGCACATACCTATGATCAGAGAGGTCTTGTTAGGGTTTGCGTTTGGGTTTGGGAAGCTGGTGAGTCTCCGTTGCTCAAAGGAGATGGTTTTAGGAAATCGAAGCTCATATGATACTTTTGAAAGGAAGGAGTGGAAGAGAAGCTGTTGTTGGAACGCTGAAGAAGCTAATCCATAGCTTCTTTTAGCCTCTTGTTCAGAAAGACACATTCTATTATTCAATAAGAAAAAGTTTTGGAGCCACTTAGGTGGTCTCCTTGCGCTTCCTTTCTTTTCTTCTCTTCTTTGCATTTGTACATAGGTTGCATGTTTCGATTTATATAGTGTAGAAGTAGTGATTTCTACCTAAGGTTGAGATGCGGTTCGACTGATATCTTTCCGCCTCTCTCTCATAAGGATTCATGAGATCTCTTTTACTCTCTATGAGTCATTGTTGAATTGTGGATCCCTTCATTGAGGACATGACATAATTGCCTTCGAAAATCGGTTGTTAATTAAAGGGGAAACCCTATGATTCTCCATCTTTATTTGCGCTTAATGCTTGTTGCTAGAGTAGCTAACTAGTGACTTGATTATAGGTTGATATACGCTCCAAAAGCTTGTTATATCTCCGGATATAGTATTTGATGGGCAAATCGTTTTAGGCTATGAAAGTAGACCTAAAGAGTTTTGTGGACAATCATTACTTGAGTGTAATGCATGTCTCACTGTACAATGACCAAACGAAAGCTGAGCCCATTTTTTTAAGAGACATAGGCGATTGGAACCATGAAAGTGGAATAATCCTTCCTTAGTGTTTTGAGTTCAAAAGAATCGTATTTTAACAAACTTTTCAATCGTATTTGCTCTTTCATGTGTTCTCAACAACACAAAACCCTTGCATCGTTTGATTTACCTTAGATCTATAAACTTAAGTGCTTACGTCAGCACCTTCATTCCTCTCCTATAAATATGTGTGTAACCCCATTGTAAAATCTCATCTCAGAATTTCCAATAAAACCTCTCTCTAAGTTTCTCTCTCTAAATGTCTTTCTAAACTTCCTTGTTCTCCAGACTTCCTTTCTTCTCCATAAGCTTTGATTCCTTTCTATCATTCTCGAGAGCACCTTCTGCTCCAAGTAGTAGAAATTGTTCAACACGGTTTAGTCAACACGACTTATGTGGGGGTGAATTTCCTAACAGAGGTTGAGCAAGATCAGAGGCATTGGCCCGTATAAGCTCCCTAAACTTGGAAAACCTCTCATATCTGTCAACACGACTCTTACCAACAAGAACTCTCTAGCTCTTGCTCTATTATCCTGGTATCAGAGCCCGGTGTAATCAAGAATTGGATGAAAGAATCATTGTTTTTGGTTGAAGGTATCGAAGTTCCTGGATAACATCTCCTCTCAATGTCTACTTCCAACCCATTAACTATCGATTCTCCTATTCAAATTTCAACCTTACCAAAAAGTAAAAGCCGTTCTTCCTCATCCAGCATTAACTCCCTTTATGAAATTGAATATGTACCCGGAGACCAATTACCCGAAACCACCTTTCCTCTGATCAATCCCTACGAATACTTTTCACGCAAGCCTAATACTTTCTCTGTCAAAGGTGTCAGAGAATTAATAAGACCGTCTTCCAGCAGGCGAATCTTGGAGTACGTTTCATCCAGCAAATTCTCATCTTGCCAAGTCCCAGCCACGGAAGAAGAGCAATTCGTTTCACTCAACATACCAGAAAATTTACCAAGGCTATGGCAGCAACAGGGGTACACTCATCTACACTTCGGGGTGGTCAGACTCGGCCTGACGCTACATGCACGCAAAGGCCTACCCGTAATAGCCCGCCTTGCGTTAGTTGACTCCAGACTAAAGTCATATCAGCAAGCTTGCATTGGAACGGTCCAAACAACATTAAATGCTTGAACAGTATTCGTAACACTGTTTCCAAATTTTAATATCTCCTTAAAGGACCCCAATCTTCTACAAATAGTTGGCGCACCTATGCAAGAAAAAAGTATGATAGCCACCTTGCACCATCAAATCGTCTACAAAGTTCAAGATCATGCTCTTGATCTTGCAATATCATCTTCTGATGACGCACTATATCTCTGGAAGTTACGTCAGCAACACAAGCGCCAAACACCAGCCAAATTCCTCGACAAATATCTCGCGAAGAGCTAGTACAACGATTGGAACAAAATAAAGATGGTAAGCAACAGTGATGTTTTAGGAAGGATTTCTCTACGAGCCTTTTGATCCTAATCATTTCCTATTCTCTCTAGTATGAACTCAGCATTGTAATTGTAATACATAAAAATTGAGGCAACTATGAAAAGACCAAATGTTTTTTCCTCGTGTGAACCAATTCTCAGGAAAGCATTGAGAACTGTGTAGATATCTGACGGCGAGTCAGATTTTCAGTTTCACAATCAAAATCTATTTCAGGCATCCCATGTGAACTTAAACTGCCCCTGTAGAACAGTTTTGGTTTTTACCACATGATCAAGCTTCTTGCGTATTTGCATACTACTATATCATCAACAAACCAAGGAATTTTTACCTTGCAGTCCATGTATGTTAGACACCCATAACTTGAAAGCAAAATAGCTGATTGATCCAAAATTCCATTCCTCAGACCCAGATATCCATTCTCAATAAGTCTGCAGGATGCAACAATATGCAATAAAACACATGTATATTGACGGGTGTGCAGTACTAATTGTTTTACAGAGAGACAACTGCTCATGGCAAAGGCAAAACTTTATGTACCTGTCATATTCAATATTTTCTGTTGGGGATACAGTCAATTCGTTTGCATTCTCCAAAGCTAGCAGGTATGCCACACCAACCTGCCACATTTCTGGCGATCATAAAATAGTTTACAAGTTTCATTTTCCAGAAATGAGCAGTAAATAACATTCCCCCCATGTGCTAAAAATGTTTAGGTACTAGTAAAGAACAGGAAAAAAAATGTCTTTTCCGAAGAAAAAACTGATGTAGGAAAGCTTGCGGGTTTAGGTTACTTACAGCAGCTGATGAGCTAAGGCCGGAGCTATCTAATCCATCCGAGCCACTGATGCAACCAACGATGCCCTTCAAAGATCAAAACAATTACTTAGAAACATATTCAAACACGTATTACTTTAGATACAGTTATGTCAACTATTATAGGGAAAGCAAGGCCTAAAAGATCAGGAATGTCAGCCCAAAAAGGGGTGACTGTGGAACCCAGAAGATCACATTGCAAATGTGCAGGCTAAATCTCATTTCCCTTTAATGACCAACTCTATCTATAGAAAGCCAAATTTAAACCCAATACCTGTTTGAGATTCTTTTTGCTGATCTGTAACGCATAGAGCGCTCCTCTGGCATAAGTCCCCCAGATGCTTTTTTCCTTCGATGCACCATTCTTGTTTGCTTCGCCTATTGGGTGCTGGATTTCATCTACACTAAAATTTCGGAACCCAAAGAAGCTATAAGCACTATGTGCATGGATCTTCATTCCACAACAGGTACAAAATTAAAATGCACTGAAGAATAAGAAAAAGAAAGAAACACATGTAGGAAAGCTAAAACACTAAGAATGCATGAAACAGAAACTAGAAAAAACATGCAAGCTTTTCCAACACTGATACTTCTATTTCTCTTAGATTGTTGAAGGGTCCTCAGTTTCCAATGAATTCGAGAGGAAGCTACGCAAAACGAAAAGGGTGAATCTATGGTCTTGACGATGACATCCCTTTCAAAAAATGGAATGACCGACACGACGAATTTCATGCCTGGCGAGTTCAAGAATGGTGGAATTCTCTTGGCGAATACCGTCAACAACAGGTCTATCAAACAACAATACCGGCTCTCTTAGGAGAAATTCACAGAGAATTCATCGGAACACAAACTCATCTCAAAGAGAAACTACAAGAAGATTTCTTCACGGCAAAATGTTGTTCACTAAAGAAGAAGGTGCTGACATAAGCACTTACCTCATTCTTACATCATCTCCCATTAAGGTGCTGACATAAGCACTTACCTCACTCTTACATCATATATATTAAACATAATTAAACGTAATTAAACATAATTTAGTTACTTACCCCTTAGTTACTTTATTTAGTGAACCATTTCGAACTGGAGGATGTGTTTGTCGCAGCAGCCATAGTGATCATCTGGACATTCATATTCTTCTTCCGGTTCTTCGATGTTTTCTTCTTATTTTGTATTGACGGCGATGTTGAATCTTCTTCCTATCTCGTCGATGTTTATCTCGTCATCCGGAAGTTGTGCATCTTGGAAGTATTCTTGTGGTACGTGTTGAGACGTCGGTTCTTGTTTTACGGTTTCTGGAACTTTACGCATCATCGTTTTCTGTGTTGCTGTCACTGTCTGCTTACTTTCCATGAAGTATTGAAGGTCTTCGTCAAGGCTTATCTGGTAGTCGAATGGGTAATAGGACCAGCTGTGGTTGAACGGGATTGGGAATGTTTGTCTGGCGTTATTGAGGCGAAATGCGAGGCTTGAAAGTCTTCGTATGGTTTGGTGTCATGGAGGTTTAAATCGGGTCGGATTCCTCTTTGATAGTCGTTATGGTGGATGAGCGTGGGTAACACATGCAGTTTGTTTGACTTGGTGTTGACTTGGACAGGACGATGGAAGAAGTATATGGTGTGAGGGTTGAAAAAGGGATTAAGGTTGTTCTGGTTTCATTGACCTTTTAGTTTCTTGAATGGTAAGTTTGTTGCTTTTGCTGATCTTCTCAAGTTTCCGATCCAGTTTGATAAGTATGTAAACCATGTCAGGAAAGTTGAGAGGCAATCCTTTTGACCTTGTTGTGCGTTGATGTGTTGGTAGAGCCATCCAATGTCGAATGTGATGCCGATGGTGTAAACTGAGCATAAGACTTCTTCTAGCATGTTCGTGTTTTTGATTCTGAAGAGATGAGCAAAAGGATAGTCTGGGTTAATGCCCATCGGTGCTATGTAGCGATAGTTGATTCCGTTTCTGCATAGAATAATGGACTGGTATTGGAAGATCTTATGATGAAGGCGCTCGTGCAGGGATTTTGTCTTGATCAGGTGATGAGCGTCTTCGGGCATGTTGCTGTCAAAATCTTTATTTGATGTCGAGGAGCTCGTAATTAGATGAATTTCTTTGGGCAGATTTCTGCTGAGCATGTCTGCAAGAGTATTATTTTTGCCCTTTAAATAGAAGGATTCAAAGTCGTACTTCGAGAACCATTCACTCCATCGCAATAACTGCTGGTGTGGGACCATCTTTTGCTTGAATTGTAACATTTTCGGAAAGGAAGACATATCCATTTCGATGCGAAATTTGTGTCCTATCAAGTGAAACTCAAATTTTTCAATTGCTTTCCTGACCGCCAGAATTTCTTTGAACGTGGAGTGATAGTGCATTTCGGAATCTTTGAAGCGCCCACTTCTGTATCCACAAATTTGTCTTTTTCCATCTATCTCTTCAATTAGTATTGCCCCCCAGTATTTATCACTTGCGTCTGTCTGCAAGATTCGTGTTCCTGTGGAGGGAATCTGTAAAGTTGGTTGCTTCTGTATCTCTATCTTTAGCCTTTTGACCGCTTCAGTTTGTCGTTTTGCCCATTGTGGTGGATTCTTTGTCAGCATTTTTTGAAGTGGTCTTGTCAACTGCGAAAGTTGCGGAATGAAGTCACTAACATAATTAATGACCTCGATAAATTGTTGGACTTGTCTCCTTGTTAGATTTTCGTCGGGAAAATCAAGAAGTGGTGTAGCGAGATGTGATTGCAGTTTGACTTGTCCCATCGTGATTTGCATTCCGAGGAAATCGATAATGGGCTGGGCTATGATCATTTTTTGGGCCGAGAGCATTACCCCATATTCTTTGATAATATTTTGAAATTGATTGAGGGACCAAATATGATCTTCTTTATTTGAGGAGAACAGGAGTATGTCGTCGATGTATATTAACGTTGTGTTGAGGAGAGGCTTGAAGATTCTTAGCATCGCTTGTTGGAAAAGTGAAGGCACAGTTTTGAGTCCAAAAGGTAGGACGCTCCACTGGAGATGTCGATTTGGCAGGCATAAAGCTGTTTTGTATCTTTTGTCAGGATGAATACCAAGTTGCCAGAATCCCGATTTTAGGTCAAACTTTGAAAATATTGTTTCTCCTTGGAGATGTTGTAGGAGGGCCTTCTTGTTTGGTAATGGGAATTTGATGTCCTGAAGATATTGGTTTAGAGGATTGTAGTCAATGACCAATCTGAGTTTGCCCCTAGCTCGTTCTGCACGGTTGTTGACATAGAATGCCTTACATCCCCATGGCGAGTTTGCTGATGAAACGATTCCTTGGCTCACTGATATACCTCTATTTTACCTACTTTTTATGCTATTTTACTATGGTTTTCTAATGGTTTTCTAGTGGATTCTTGTGTTAAAAGGTAGTTTTTATGGATTTATAGTGCAAAGAGTCATTTTAGGTAAAAAGGTGCATTATGGAGCAAAACAGGAGATTTGGACTCTAAACCAGTTCAATGCCCCTGCATCAACTTTGGATGGAGCTAGAAAAAGATCTACTCAATGGATTTCATCAAGACCAGTTCCCTGCGTGCTCTGATTGAGTTAACTTTCCAACGCAACTGGAATGGCTTCATTTGGATGAGTAGAAAAGGAGTTATAGCCAAAAGAGTGAAGACTGCTCCAGACGGCCATATCGAGAATCAGCGCCGAACGCGCAGACCGGCTGGCCGAGGAACGAATGTTCCGCGCTCGGCCAAAGTCATTCCGTCCGACTGAAGTCTCGGCCAAAGTCAAACCACCGGCCGATCACGCACGACCCGGGAAACATGTCCCGCGGTCGGCCAAGCTTCAACGTCACGCCACGCCGCGCACGACCAGCCGCGCGAGCCGGGAAACAAGCCTCGCGGCCGCGCAACCGTTCGCGTACCACGGCCGATGCATCCGTCCGAGCCGGGAAAGAACGTCCCACGTCCGGCCGAGAAACCATCGGCCAAATCTCATCCGCCGACCACGCCGGCCGACCATGAAACATCCGGCCACGACCGTTCCGACTCGGCCCAAGACCCGACTGTCCGGCCGATCGTCCCGACCGACCGTCCGAACGCCGCGGTCGACCCGAAGCCGTTTTTGAAGCCCAATCCGCACAATTCAAGCCCAAAGCCGGCGCCGACCTAGCTAGATTAGGTTTAGCCGCCTTTCATACTTAGAGCATTATAAATACTTCTTTTTAGCCTTGTAACTCAAGAAGGAGAGAGACCACAATCTATTTTACATCTTAATAAAGTTTTGCTTGCTTTTACTTTGTTCTTGCTTGTTACTCTTTCTAGAGAGGATTCGAATCTCTGTTCTTATGAATATGAATTCGTGTTCCTTCTCTATGTCTGAGTAGTTTACTTGTTAAGTGATAGGAAGTCAAAGGATAGCATTCATGTATGCTTGATGATTGATCACAATTAGGGTTTTACTTATAATCTCCATCTTTGCTTATACTTAATGCTTGTTGTTAATCTGGCCAATTAGCATATGCCTTTAGGTTGATTTGAGCCTCGACAGTGCTGTATCATTCGCCTGAACTAGTATTTGGTGGGCAATCTCTTTTAGACTGCGACAGTTGATCTACTTGTAGGTTGTGAACAATTGATCTTGATCGAACTAATGCTTGATTTAATCACCTAGGGACATACCAAAAGTTTAGCGACTAGGTAGATTAACAAAGGGGTCGGAGCCTCGACAGTGGAATGATCATACCATAGTGTTTCAAGTTCTAGATTAGCACCTAAGTGCGGTAACCCTAATTGATTGATTTCATGCTTCTTGAATTGCTTATCTCAAGACTATCCTATTGCTTAGCCTTTCTCTCCTATTGAATTCTCACTTTTATTACTTGCATGCTTTACTTTCTCTGCACTCAACCAACTTATACTTTTGCCCTAGCTCGATCTCAAACTCATAGCTTGTAGTGTGCAATCTGGTCCTTGTGTTCGATACCCGTTTACTACTTCTGACCTGTGCACTTGCAGAATCAGGGATAGGAAAGGGGAAGACCTGATCCCGCGATCAAGTTTTTGGCGCCGTTGCCGGGGACCAATTCGCACCTACAAGTTCTTGCAAGAGAGCTAGTCTAGGGTTTTATCTTTTCCTTTTTGTTTTTTGTTATTTTTCCTTTTTTCTTTGATTTGGTTTTTCCTTTTTGTTTTTAGTTTTTCAGGTTTTCCTAGTTAGATATGGAGAAGGAGCCACAAGCCTCTTCCCCTATAAAGGCGATGCCAATTCGCCACATACCACCTCAAAGCAACCTCTTGAGCGAACAAGAGATGTCAAGCCCTCAAGCACCACCACCTTCATGGGATAGTCCTCCAAGACCATCCTCTTTGAAGACCAAGAAGAAACTTCTTCCTTACCTTGAAGCAGCCGACCTGGAGACGTCTAGCCAAGCCACATCATACCAAGAAGAACACCTTCTGCCACACCAGAAGAGGAGATTGATTCTGAGCTGATCGAGTTCGTGAAGAGAGATCAATTCCATGATCTGTTTTCAGAGTATGCACTAGAGCACATAGATCACTTTGACAACCTTTGTGATTCCTAGGAATCCTTTCTACAATTCTACTTCAGAGTGTGCAAAGGAGCATCTATGCAACTTTGAGCAGCTTTGCCATGACTATGGACTTGGAGACAACCCCAAGAAGATACAACTTTTCCAACTATCTCTAGCTGGACAAGCCAAAGACTGGGCTAAGTTCAATGCCCAACATGCTTTCAAGACTTGGAATGGATACAAAGGAGCTTTCCTCCACAGATTTGCCAAAGGTCCTATTTATGTCCCACCACCACGCCCAAGCTATTCACAACACCATCCATCATCACCAGACATAAACAAGACACCACTTTTCCCAAGGGAGAGCTACCAAGCTGCGCGCCAAACCAAGATTGAAGAGATGCTTCAAGAGTACTTGAGAAATCAAGAAGAGAGTACAAAGAAGATGGAGAGAAGAATCGATTTCATCCATGAGAGCCTTGGAAACAAATCTGAAGTCCTATTCAAGCAAGTGATCAAGCTTGATGAAGACATTAAGAAGTTAAGAGAGGATCATGATCGATCTTTGAACCTAGTTAAGCTTGATGTTGCTTCCAAATATCAAGAGTTGCTGAACAAGAGCATGAGAATTGAAGATACTAGCTATGGCAATAGCAAACATCTTGGTTCGATCTACAACCGCCTACAAGCCCTTGAAGGATCATCTCATGCCAATTACAAGAGAGAGAGGAGTCCAACACCCAACCACCCTCCCTTTTATTGCAATGCCATCACAAGAAGAAGCACTACTCAAGTCCATGAGGACAATGAAGAAGAAGAAAGAGAGTATGAGGAACAATTGAATGATGAAGATGAAGAGCAGAGCATCGACATCAATGCTTCCCCAAAACAGAGCATGGATACACCTAGCCCTAAGACCCTCGTTTCTCACCAACACCAAGAAGTCAAGCTTCTACACTTCCAAGACTAGAAGCAATGCAAAGACCATCACCATCTACTGAAGAAGAAGATACTTGGCAATATGATCCCATTGATCCCAACAAGATAAGCCCCATGAAGCTTAAAGAGTTCAATGCTAAGGTGAAATCACTTCCATTCTATGTCACTTTTGAAGAAGCTTGGGATAAACATGGTCTAGTGGAGTTCTTTTTCACAACTAGTGAAAACAAAGAAGAGATACACCAACTTTTCAGGAAGGCTCGATTTCCCATTGCCCCTCATGGAGTCAATCAACCACCATCACCACCATCATCACCACCACCCAGTGGTATGTCAATTCCATATCAAGAGAGAAGCTTGCTGAGTTCAATCAGTTTGTCCAAACTCTTCCAGCCAGCATGTCTTTCCAACAAGCTTGGCGCCACTACCCATTCACCACCTTCTTCCACAACTGCAAAGAGAACACCTGAGGACATAAGAGAGCTTTTTGAGAAAGCTAAAGTTCAGCCAACCTTCAAGACCCTCTACAAGATTGAAGACCCAGGTCAATTCTCTATTCCCTGTCAAGTAAATGGTCATTACTTTGATAGAACACTATGCGATTCTGGCTCTTGCATAAACCTCATGCCAACCCAAACCGCCAAACTCCTTGGCATCACACGCTTGACCTATGGAGATTTCTTCGATTGTTTGCCCTTGATTTCTGATGTATATCTTGGTTTGTTGGCTCAGGTAGTCATCAATGGAAGAAAGATGGACTTGCTTCAGGCTTGGGTTATTAAGACCGTTGAGCGTATAATATCTCTTCGTTTGTTGTTCAAAGTGTTTTGCAAGATCCTTCTTCTTTAGTAATGGGAATTTGATGTCCTAAAGATATTGGTTTAGAGGCTTGAAAAATGGAATGACCGACTCTGATTCGACTCTGACACCGGGCTCTGATACCAGGATAATAGAATCAGAGTTCGAGAGTTCTTGTTGGTTAGAGTCGTGTTGACAGACGTGAGAGGTTTTCTAGGTTTAGGGAGCTTATATGGGCCAATATCTCTAATCTTGCTCAACCTCTGTTAGGAAAATCCACCCCCACATAAGTCGTATTGACTAGAACCGTCTTGATCAATTCGAACTCTGTCTACTACTTGGAGCAGAAGGTTCTCTCGAGAATGATAGAAAGGAATCAAAGCTTATGGAGAAGAAAGGAAGTCTCGAGAACAAGAAAGTTTAGAAAGACATTTAGAGAGAGAAACTTAGAGAGAGGTTTTATTGGAAATTCTGAGATGAGATTTTACATTGGGGTACACACATATTTATAGGGGAGGAATGAATGTGCTGACATAAGCACTTACCTCATTCTTACATCATCTCCCATTAAGGTGCTGACATAAGCACTTACCTCACTCTTACATCATATATATTAAACATAACTAAACATAATTAGTAACTTATTCCTTAGTTACTTTATTTAGTGATCCATTTCGAACTGGAGGATGTGTTTGTCGCATCAGCCATAGTGATCATCTGGACATTCGTATTCTTCTTCTGGTTCTTAGAAGTTTTCTTCTGATTTTATATTGACGTCGATGTTGAATCTTCTTCCTATCTCGTCGATGTTTATCTCGTCATCTGGAAGTTGTGCATCTTGGAAGTATTCTTGTGGTGCGTGTTGAGACGTCGGTTCTTGTTTTACGGTTTCTGGAACGTTACGCTTCTTCGTTTTCTGTGTTGCTTTCACTGTCTGCTTACTTTCCATGAAGTATTGAAGGTCTTCGTCAAGGCTTATCTGGTAGTTGAATGGGTAATAGGACCAGCTGTGGTTGAACGGGATTGAGAATGTTTGTCTGGCGTTGTTGAGGCGAAATGCATGGGCTTGAAAGTCTTTGTCTGGTTTGGTGTCATGGAGGTTGAATTAGGGTCGGATTCTTCCCAGATAGTCATCATGATGGATGAGCGTGGGTAACGCATGCAGTTTGTTTGACTTGGTGTTGACTTGGACAGGACGATGGAAGAAGTATATGGTGTGAGGGTTGAAAAAAGGATTAAGGTTGTTCTGGTTTCCTTGACCTTTTAGTTTCTTGAATGGTAAGTTTGTTGCTTTTGCTGATCTTCTTAAGTTTCCGCTCCAGTTTGATAAGGATGTAAACCATGTGAGGAAAGTTGAGAGGCAATCCTTTTGACCTTGTTTTGCGTTGATGTGTTGGTAGAGCCATCCAATGTCGAATGTGATGCCGATGGTGTAAACTGAGCAGAGATACCAAAGGAAGCATAAGACTTCTTCTGGCATGTTCGTGTTTTCGATTCTGAAGAGATGAGCAAATGGATAATCTCTTGTGCCGACTCCCATACAGATTTCCTTCAAAAGTGCAAAAACCCGTTATGGCTAAACTCAGAGTTCTTCGTCGCATTGCCTTTAAAAGAAAACGTCGCTGGTCTTCTTAAGTTTCACACCATATACATCTTCCATCGTCCTATCCAAGTCAACACCAAGTCAAACAAACTGCATGCGTTATCCACGCTCATCCACCATAACGACTATCAGAGAGGAATCCGACCCGACTTCAACCTATATGACACCAAACCATACGAAGACTTTCAAGCCCACGCATTTCGCCTCAACAACGCCAGACAAACATTCCCAATCCCGTTCAACCACATCTGGTCCTATTACCCATTCGACTACCAGATGAGCTTTGACGAAGACCTTCAATACTTCATGGAAAGTAAGTAGATAGTGACAGCAACACAGAAAACGATGAAGCGTAACGTTCCAGAAACCGTAAAACATAAGTGCTTATGTCAGCACCTTCATTCCTCCCCTATAAATATGTGTGTAACCCTATTGTAAAATCTCATCTCAAAATTTCCAATAAAACCTCTTTCTAACCTTCCTTGTTCTCCAGACTTCCTTTCTTCTCCATAAGCTTTGATTCCTTTTTGTCATTCTCGAGAGCACCTTCTGCTCCAAGTAGTAGACAGAGTTCGAATTGATCAACACGGTTCTAGTCAATACGACTTATGTGGGTGTGGATTTTCCTAACAGAGGTTGAGCAAGATTAGAGGCATTGGCCCATATAAGCTCCCTAAATCTGGAAAACCTCTCACGTCTGTCAACACGACTCTAACCAACAAGAACTCTCGAAGTTTGATTCTATTATCCTGGTATCAGAGCCTTGTGGTTCAACCCCTACTAGTTGTCTTTAGGGATTTATTACTTGTACTCATCCCATCTAGATGCCGATCAATGTAGTGGCCCTAGTATAAGCAGCGGTGGCAAGCCCATCTGGGTGTAGTGGCCCCAGTTTGGGTAGGTGCATAGTTGTCTGGGTGTTGTGGCGTCAGTACAAGTGGTTTGAGGTGCTGAGTTAAGAGTAAAGATGTCTAGAAACGTGCGTATAACATAGGATTGGATGGGTGTCTCGGGATCAGGTGAGGATCTCTAGTGTTTTGGCCATGTGGGCCCGGGTTTTGGTGGTCTTTTATATACATGTTGTCTTGTGATTCGAGGTCGAATCAAGTTTAGTGGGGGGAGAGTTGTAACATCAGTAAACCAAAAAGTTGAATTTTGGAGGTGGTGTCAAGCGACACCAGGAGGGTGTCGGTCGACACCAATTATGGTGAAATCAAGTCGGTTCAGTCTAAGTGTCTGGTTTGGGTGAGAAAGCCCTAATTCGCTGGAATAAAAGAGAGCAGCCGTCTTTTTCAGCACAGTTTTCGAGGTGAACTTTTCCAGAGAAGAAAAGAGGCGAATTTGGAGAGATTTTCGAGTTTTGGTGTCAGATCGAAGTGCCATTTGTCGTTGTTTATCGTCATCTCCCTCTTTTCCCCTTTCAATCCGTTTAACAATTGAGTGTGTGACCGTAGGCTCGTGATTCACTAGAGATTGATTGATTGTTGAGTTTTATGATGAGTTCATGCTGTGTTCTTCATAATTTGTGTGTTTGATTGATTTCGGGTGTTGAAACCCTTTTTTTTTTGGTATTTTCGTTCGTTTTTGTTGAGTTAGGTTTCGGGTCTGAGAGTCGGTGTCGAGCGTAATTGCTGGTTTTTGCTCAACACTAGAACATTTTGTATGTTTTGCTTGTTTTGAATTGTTGGTTGCTTGTTCTAGTGTTTTGCGTAATTGGCCTATTAGGCGGGGTGATCGTCTCACTAAGTATTTATGATAATGCTTACGCATCTCTTTCGTATTGTGATGTAGGTGAAAGAAATGTGTGATCGCGGAATGAAGGTGGAAGGAGAGGATGATAGGAAATTATTGTTCTGTTTTTGTTTGAGTTGTTAGAACGTGGTGTTTAGGTTGCTAGCATTATTTAATTATTTGAATTGAATTTGTTGAATCGAATTGGTTTAATTATTTATTGAATTTATTTTTTTAATACTTCTGCTGAGTTGAGTTAATTAATTAAAAAAAAAAAAAAAAAAAAAAAAAAAAAAGGAAAACTTGGTTGTTTCAGTAATGCTCGGCGCCATAGCCGGAGTTGGGTACACATCATCATTGTTAGATGTGAAATTAGCACATTTCCATGAGTCTGTCGCCATCTTTACTAAATGATAGCAGCTAATTGGGGCCTCTCAGAGAACCTCACAGCTTTCAGCCACAAAATGCCACATGACATATTACATAAATAAATAAATAAATTATTCGATTTCTCTTATGTGTAAAAACGAATTCCATCCGAAGCCCATCTCGGCGCACTAAGTCCACTTCGCTCTGGCCCGGTTGGAGTCCGCTGCTAACACCAATTCGTTTCGCCTTCCTCCTTCTCCACCTTCGTTCATCTCTCCGCCGATTCCCCGTTCCCGCACCAAACTCAACATTTTTAGAGTTGTTCTCGACCTGCCACATCAGCTTCTTTCACAGCGATGCAACGTCAGCAGGTCTTCAATATTCAAGAAAAAATTTAATCGCAGAAAAACGAATCGATTCATTATCCGTTTATCACACCATTAGATTCCTTATAACACCAAAACCCTTCTTCATCCCCATTTCAATCCCAGATTTTATTTCCTTCGTTGTCCTCACTCCCGTCCGCCGTCCGCCGCCTTCCCGTTCTCTTTCAAGATTCTACCTTCACCCTCACACCCTCCCAATCCGCTTCCTTCGGTATACCAAAAGTAGCGTCTTCCCCGTCGACTCATTCCTCCCATGGTTCACCTCCGACGCGTCCAACATATCTCTGCGCAGCGTTCCGCCGAGTGTTCCTAGCGGCAACGTTATATATTCTCTTGCGGCTAGAGGTTGTTTTCACGAAGAGGTATCGTCATCTTCTCAACTCTGCCTAAAAAGGATTCAGCACATTTGAAGAGGTATTTTCATCTTCACAGTCTTTGATTTCTCCTATATTAGTTTTTAAGAGATATCGTCATCTTCATAGTCTTTGATTTCTCCTATATTATTTTTTTCCAATCACCTCCTTATTTAGGAGGCGGATTCATGAATCGGAGCAGATTTCCAAGCGGAAGAATCCGTTAACAAACTGTGGAGATTCGGTGTGGCGAGGGAGGTTGACTTGAGGAGAGGAGGAGAGAGAACAGAAGAGTCGGAGGAATTGAAATCTTCACATCAGAGTTTACTGAGATAACCAAATCACGTCTACCCACCACTTACTAAAGCACATGTAAGTTTGACAAACCTACTTAGGCTTTTTAACAATGGAAGACCATTAAACACATCTAATGTTACTTCTAAAACTCAGACGATTGTTGTTTTCTTAAATTGACGGAGAAAGGGTATGGGAGTTGTAACTTTGAAGGAGATTTTGGTTGTGCGGTGTGGGAAAGTCCTATCTACTTCTGAGGTATATAACATGTATGGATTTCTCTTCTTACCAAATAGATATATCATTCAACCCGAATTTGTCCTTATATTCTGAGAATTAATGGTAAATGTCCATCATTTGGCAGGTCATACTGCGAAATTCAAGGAATTGAGTCGGTTAGTAGCCTCTTTCTTTTACAGAACCGAACAGGTGAAGTGAGTTATTTTAAAATCTCATTCAACTTTGAGGCTGCCTCTAGATCCTCTTCAATAGAATATTCACAATGCTCCTCTTTGTTGTTGTCAAGTTGGTTTTATAGAATTGTCAATTGCATGTACGACAATTTGGCTAAACATGTTACCCCAAAATTCAATTTTTCTACATTAGCTAGCAACTTCTTGGCTTTTTCTTCTTTCTCTTCTTTGGCTCACTTTTGTGTCCTGTGTTGTGGGAAACAAACAGTGGGTTATGGGGTTGGCATTGCAAATCATCTTCGACAGCAAAGAACGATTGTGCTCTGCGATGCCTTTCTCCGGTTTGCTATGAACTCACTTATGAGAGTGATCCGGTAAGAATTGTAGAACGATGATGATAATGACGAGATTTTAGGGAGATGTCTCTTCTTTCTTTTTTATGCATTGTCTTTTTTGTTGGTGTTGTGCAGCTTAAAGAGAAGCCGAAAAAGATTTGGTTACGAGCCAAGAGTACAAGTATTGTAAGTACAAGTAAGTTGACAATTCTCTCTATCTTTGCTTTGATAACTAATTTGAATTAGATGTGTTTATTATATATCCGGACTTGATTCTCCTCTTATGTATTTGCAGAATGGAGATGGAATCATGTAAGCTGTTTATCGGTGGGATTTCTTGGGAGACCAGTGGAGAGATCGTCTCGGTGCTACTTTCAGAACTATGGTGAGGTTTTACAAGTGGTTATTATGAAGGATCGAGTCACTGGGCGTGCCCGTGGCTTTGGTTTTATCACGTAGACTCTAATGTCCCTGAGAGAGTCGTTATGCAGAAACACATAATTGATGGCCAATCTGTAAGTTTGAACATCTCTCCAAACTCCAAACAAACATCACAGTGGCTTAAGATATCAATACTGTTGTGTTGCTTCAATAATCTCTCTTGCTTTTGAAAGAGAGTTCATTTTTTTTTATTGTAAAGTATTGTATGGGGCTTAATTTCAGTTGGCAACTTGCAGCTATCTTTCATTTTCAAGTTATCAGTGTTTTCTCGAATTTTTGTTAGTAATGGGTAACAAACTCTCATTATGTTGATTTTAATTTGTAAAGCTACATCTGTCGTAGTTATGATTACAGATTCAGCTATGATAGGCTATAATGATATGTGCCTCCGGCTAAGATGCAAAGGAAAGGAGGGTGTTTTGAAGATAATGGAAAGTAATGAGATGATTGAAAACTTTCACAATAGCAAATTGGGATAAGTTAGTTTCGTACTCTCACCTAACCATTCAGAATGCCTAATACATGTTCATAAAAATCTGAAAAATATTGATTATTAAATTATTCTTTATATGGATTTTATGTTATCCGGATTGATTATTACTATTTAATTAACAATGTTTTTGTTCTTCGATATTAGAACATAGAGAGATTTGCCTTCACAGCTTCTTGAAAGAGGTTCGGATAGCCAAAGTGGCCGTTGATGCTTGTGGGATATGAGAGTGTACGCCAAATTTCTGGAAAAACTGTATGAAGAAACAAAATCTGAGTAAATCATTAATTTTTACTTAACAGTAGTAACCACTGGCTGGAAATGTTATCCCGGGCTACGCCCAGGATCATGTAAGGATCAGACCGTCGGTTTATATGGTCTATATTTTGTTATATTGTTTAATCACATTTGTTTAATCACATTTACATAGATATTTTCAAGAAGTTTTTTTTTTGTTTTTAGTAAAAGGCCTAGGCAAAATAATAATTTCAAAAAAAAAAATTATAAAATTTAATCTTAAATTTGTTGTGATCGTCATATGGTAGAAAAACTATTTATTAAATTGCTCTTCATATTGTGTATGCCAGTGATTTACTGATTAAAATTAACACCAAACATTAATAAATAATAATAGTTAGTAGCAACTTATATTCTAAATTAAATTTGTTTATAAAATATGTCCCCCGCGTAGCACGGGATAACCCTAGTTAATAATATCATAAAAGCCTAAGCCGACTTAAGCCCTTAACCTCCTCAGCAAAATGGCAAGTCTTGAGGAAAAAGGCAAAATCTTTAGGAAAATGTAAAGAAAGGCTCATGCCGACTCGAAGAATGGAAGGAGATCAAGAACAAGAGGAAGTTTTCCATAACAACGAAAAGGAAGATAATCATCGAGAAGCCGACCTCCCTTCACTATATAATGGAGAACCCCCATTTCTGAAAAGGGATCCGAAATTGGCTGCAAGAACCCTAGGCAATAACATTCTCTTTTCAGTTCTCTCTTGTTTTCAATCATCGTCTAGTCAACCCTGTCTCAATCTTGGATACCCGTCATAGAGGTGTGCTATTCTTGATCTCACAATCATAGCACTCTTATTAATAACACATGAATTAAATGTTATCTTTTAAATAATTTCTCAAGGGTATATCAAATTCAATCCAAACCGAAATCAAAACTGTATCAAGCCAATCCAAACGGTATTTCGATTTCTATTCGCCTTATATTTCATAAGTTGAAAATACATTTTTTTTTAAAAATCAGCTATTATTTTTTTTAGCACTAAAATTTGTGGACATTATTGCCTCAAAAAGGGACCTCAAGTGAGTCATCCCATGCTTCAGCACTTCCATTAGAAGCATCTTCGACGTCTTCTTCCATGGATAGCCTAATGTATTCTCTATGAGCAAAACGATCCCACTCACTCCATGTAGGATTTGCCCGCTCCTATGTAATATGATATTAATAAGAAAACAACGAATCCATCTCTATAAGTACATAGCTAGATAAAAACATATTTATATTGTGTGTTACCTGACGTATAAGGAAGGGGTCACGCGTTTCAAATGCCATAAACTTGTTTAGGTTGAAAAGTATATTGAAAACATTTCCAGAAAGTTTAGAACCCTTCAAGTCATTTAGGCAAATATATCCTTCATCCTCTGGTTTGATCATGTCGAATAATTGACATAGAATATCCTCAAACAACACCGCCTCTTGGGCCATACACTCCATTCTATGCAGTTGCTCCTCATAAAAGAACTGCAGCTCGTTTCTAGTCAATACTCCATTTGCATCTAAATCTATGCACTTGAACCTTTATCATATCAAAACATTAGTAGCGTAACATAGCACTCGCCAAATAACATATATATATATATATATTTATATGATTTTTTTTCTTGTAAATTCTTACCAATACTCAAGACTAGGTTCTGATGACTTGTCTTCTTCTGCTAGTATAAAGTAAACAAAATCCTCATAACCCATCTTGTCTTCAGTTTTACTATTAAACTTCCTCGGTACCTATGATAGACATAGTGATTAGTGACTACGACATTCTAAAGGCTTGTAAATAAATTAAAATTAAGAAATGAATGTGTAAAATAGGGAACCTGAGAAAAGATTCGGTCTACAATCCTATAGGTGAGTGCATGGTTACTATATCGGATGAGATTTTCTTTGTCGATCAAGAAATCATGATCTGTATCAAGCTCCCAGAATTTGCAGTATATGACATAGAAATGTTCATAAGAAAAGTACCTAATTATAAACAATAGAGATTCGGATTAGAAGGCATACATTAGGACCAAGTTACATTACTACTAATTAATCGTGAGACACGTACCTCAACACCTTATTGATGTCCTCTTCTTCATCAGCATGCTGCATTGCGTCAACTAAATTTCCTCGCGTAAGTTCTCTCAAAGTAAGATGCCCATTCCCACTCCTATTTATGTAGTAATATATTCTGTATATTACAGTTTCCGCTGTTTCCCAAATGTTACACATACATTACAATGGATCATATACTCAACTTTACATTTCTCACACCTTTGTACTCTTACTTTATCACCAACATTATCATATGGAAAAATAAGAAATTGGGTAACTTCATAGTTTTAGACTAACCATATCTGTCTTGAAACTCAGGTGTGCCTTGTAAGAATTCAAGACCAGGGTGTGTTGCCAATAATTCTTGGAGCACATTCTTGAAATCATCCTGTCATAAATTACATCAGCATGTTGAGAATCCTTGTATATATTTTCAGTAACGGATGTTTCTATACAAACAAATGAAGAAGATATAACAATATCGTCTAATTATGTGGCCAAAGAAATATATATATATATGTACCTTGACAAGATACTTCTTATCTGGTTGCCTTAGTATTGTAAATATCTGAGTTGCGGTCTCCTTTGTCAACATATTTCCGTTAACCCAGTAATCAATGAAGGCCTCTCTGCAAGGAAATTGGGAAACCACTATATAAATATACTTTTGATTAAAAGAGTCCACAGGCCCAAACGAAACTAAATTCCATAGGTTTTCATTTTATAATCTAAGAACTAGTGATATATTAGTATCTCTTTGTTTTCAATAATTGCCGCAACACCAAACGATGTAGTTAACAATGAAAAAGAAAAAAATTGCAAACCTTTTCACAAACCCAGTGTTATCAGTATCTATTTTCTTGAAAATAGAGGTGGATAAAAATGATGGAACCTTGCAGATCTCAGTAGTAACCAATTTAAATTCTGATAAAAAAAAGACATGGTTACTCACTAAATATTGGAGATTAAGTTATTTAAAGAGCGGGTAAAAAACCAACCTTGCAGTTGCAAACCATTCTCCTGGCCATGGAAAAGAGTATTGATCTTAGCTATACACTGCTCTTTTTGGTCATTTGGTGCTGGGCGACCATCTTCAAAGTAAAACTATACATACATAATACAATAGTTTCTGTATTTTTAATTGATGCTTAAAAACTTGTGGTAAAAAATAACAGTTTAATTAAAAGCATTATAACAGAATGGTAACAAACGAGGTGGTATAATAAAAAAATTATGGTACCACCTCTTTAAACCGTTTATAATGAATTGTTTAACAGGAGTAATATATATTGTACCACAGTGGTACAACATTATCAATCAAAGCCTATATACATAACTAGAATGTGGATTAAAATTTAGACCTGAGGAATGAGTTCTTTAACATGTTCAGAAACCACTTTGAGAGGAGAGCTAAGATTAGAGAGTCCAGTCCTTTGTCTAGTGATCCGAGGCAAACCAGTGGAGTTTCTTGGAGAAAGAGGAGGGCCATTGCGCGCAGGAAACATTGTAGCCAGAGGACTATTAGTTCCTGAATTAGTAGTAGAAGAAGATCCTCCACATATAACATTCAATGAAACTCCTGATTTGACATCATTTACCATAAATGCAACCTATAATATAAATAATAAAAAATCCAATTTTACTCACATTCATTATACCAAAACCATATATTATGTTCCGAGAAGATTTCAAATATTTCTGATTTACCAAGCGATTGGTTTCAGGAAGAGCAAGCCATTGATCGAAGAGCTTCTTGACGTAATCTTGATTCAATTTCATCGAAATTGGTGATGTCTCTGGTAACTGTAACAGCTCTATATTCAGCGTTAGAGACTCCATTGCGATGGATTGGATCTTGTTTGAATTTGATCAATTCTCAAATACAAAAAGAATTGGTGGAGAAAATGATGATATTGTGTCATATACATTCATACATGTGTACTAGTGTGTGTTTTATATAGAGGAAAGAAAAATTCGATTCAATTAAAAAAAATAAAAAGTTAGATCCGTCCGATCCTGAAGGATATTGGCTCTAAAATTTGCAGAAAATTAAGGGAAGACGGAGAGAGAGAAGGGAAACACACTCATTAACGGTTTCTTAGTAAAAACTATAATTAGTAAATTGTTTGAAAACAAATAAATATTTTTCCAAAACAATAACATAAGGGTAAGCTACTAATTAACGGGTTGACACGTTAAGCAACAAAACCAAGAAGTATTCAACATTTGCAATCAAAATTGAGTTAATTAGTCAAATGGCAATAACTTTAAGAGAAACTAGATCCTGACCCGTGCTTGGGAAGCATGGGATGTTTCGATTTTTATAAAATCTTCTTAACTATTGATACTGTAATTATGTAAATAATAGTATTGATATGTTTGTGATATATGATGATGAATTAGTGTTATTTTGATTATATAAGTATGAGACGAAATAAATATGTATACAAATTGTTATAATTTCATACTAAATACTGACCCTGAGCAAATATAATCAAACCGACTTCAATGTGTTGACAGTATAACATACATATGTGTCGTTTTACGGGGTTTGCTCGGTTTCATCTGGTGAGTTATATCTTGATTATATAAGTATACCTCATTCGGTTTCGGAGTTTACGAGGTTTGCTCAGTTTCAAAATGTGTCGTTTTGCGGGTTTGCTTTGTTTGATTTGGTGAGTTATAATGTTAATTTAATATTTCAAATTTGACAACCCCTATTTATTATTTCAGTTTTTTCGGAAAGTTAATTCACATGCACAAATCATAAAAGAGAACCAATCTATAAAATTAATAGTATAGATGTTCTGAAATCGTTTTGGTTCGATTTAAGTTATCTGAGTCAAATCGATTTGGTTCAGTTTAGGTTAACCGAACGGTCAAGCAACAATTAGCAAATCCGCCGAGCATCGTCGTTACCATTTCTCTGTTTCGTCTCGACGCACCGTCTTTCTTCTTCGACATAGCTTCCGGTCGTCTCCTTCTTCTTCTTCTTCTTCCTTCAAGGTCGTCGCGTTCTCCACTTAGCTAATTAAACACTTTTCATCTAAAGAGTCTGTAGAATTATCATGATTGCTGAATTTCTGGAATTGACGAAATCTCAATCGATCAAAAAAGGGTTTTTGTGGTCTGACCTAATGTAAGAGCTTCTAGTTCTCTTCGTCTTGGAAAATCCTATGCTCTACTCAAAGGAACCCAGCAAAATCGATATCTGCAGCTGACAGGACTGTTCCCTTGCGTCTCCGTTCTCTAGGTCAGGTAAATCTCTAAGCTCTCGCAATTTCCATCCCTATAGCAATCCTTCGATTTTAACTTGCCTCCTAGATCAGATAACTCAAATAAGATTAACTTAATTCTTCTTCAGATTGGTTTTAAGATGATCAGAATCAAAGGAATTGCAAAGTAAATTAAAACTTGTAGATGTTCAATCCCGTTTTTTTAAGTGCATTTATTTAACATTTTGTAATCACATTACTTGCCTGAGAAGCACGAGATGTTGTAATTTGTGAAGATTTTAGTTTTTTTGAGTTACACAGTTATTTGCTATTAATTTTAATCTTAGGTTCAGTAAATTATTGAATCAATAGTAAGACGAAAAGTGATAAATTAAGTGGTAAATATTTGGGCTGTAATAATTCTTCTCATGTATGGCCCTAAAACGGATAAGTTCATTTCGCATGCTTTCTAACCATGAAATTAACATCAACATTTGTGGCATCCACACCGTTTGTTTAACATCTTGCGCAAAACGAAAAGTCGCACAACTTGGGAGAATAGGAGAAATCGAATCCCAATTCGATCCGATATCTAGTCTTTTGATATGAAATAAATTTGGCGAATCCGTCGGATCAGCTGTTTCATTAATAAACAATAATTTTCATCAAAAAAAAATAATATGTAGTTATGTACAATTTAAATGAAACAAAGAAACTTGTAATAATCTAGTAAGTCTCCTTGGACACTTGAAATAACATATTCTCAATTTGATATCATATAAAAAAACCTGTAACTTCAATATTCTCTTCTTTCCCTTCATTTATAAATTTGTTGATGAGACATATTAAAGTCAAGATTACAAATTTTCACTTTATCAGTCCCGTACTTTCTTTATGTTTTCCGAAAAGACCCGAATCTAAAAGAATGTTGCACTGACCCGTGATGTTGCTATACTTTGAGTTAGTTAAACTTGTGAATATTATATTTCTAAGATTGAATATTGTTTTGACATTTTTTACTAAAGAGAACTAAACCGTCTCTCTTGGCATTATTTTTCTGATAGTGTAAAGCTCATTTTTTTAAAAAAATGGCAATTTAGGGTCAAGAAAAGGATACTCTTGTTCGTAGATCCATTCTTTTGCTTCTCTCTTCATTTGTAAATTTGTTCATAAAACATGTTAAAGTCAAGATTACAAAATTTCACCTTTGATTAGATCCGGTTTTTTCTCAGATGAGACATATTAAAGTCAAGATTACAAATTTTCACCTTTATCAGTTCCGTACTTTCTTTATGTTTTTTCCGAAAAGACCCGGATCTAAAAGAATGTTGCACTGACCTGTGATGTTGCTAACCTCTGAGTTAGTTAAATTTGTTAATATTAGATTTCTAATACAGGATATTGTTTTGCATTTTTTTTATTAAAGAGAAGTAAACCGTCTCCATCGGCATTATTTTTTTGTGTTAGTGTAAAGTTCATTCTTAAAAAAGAAAAATTAGCAGATTAGGTCAAGAAAACGATACTCTTGTTCGTAGATCCATTCTTTTTCTTTCCTCTAAGAGATATTGTTTTGATATTTTTTTACTAAAGGGAAGTAAATCGTCGCCATCAGCATTATTTTTTGTGTTAGTATAAAGCTCATTTTTAAAAAAGAAAAATTGGCAATTTAGGGTCAAGAAAACGATATTTTTGTTCGTAGATCCATTCTTATATGATCTCCTCTAATAGCAATTTGTTCATGAGACATGTTAAAGTCAAGATTACAAACTTCCGCCTTCGATTAGATCCATTTTTTGTCTCATATGAGACTTATTAAAGTCAAGATTACAAATTTTCACCTTTATCAGTCCCGTTCTTTTTTTGTGTTTTTCCGAAAAGACCCTGATCTAAAAGAATGTTGCACTGACCCATGATGTTGCTAACCTCTGAGTTAGTTAAATTTTTGAATATTAGATTTCTAAGATAGAATATTTTTTTGACATTTTTTATTAAAGAGAAGTAAACTGTCTCCATCAGCATTATTTTGTTTGTTAGTGTAAAAGCTCATTCTTTAAAAAGAAAATTAGCAATTGAGGTCAAGAAAACGATACTTTTGTTCGTAGATCCATTCTTTTTCTTTCCTCTTCATTTGTAAATTTGTTCATGAGACATGTTAAAGTCAAGATTACAAACTTTCACATTTGATTAAATCCATTTTTTTTTTCTCATATGAGACATATTAAAGTCAAGATTACCAATTTTCACCTATATAAGTCCCTTTCTTTCTTAATGTTTTTTTCCAAAAAAAAACCCGGATTTAAAAGAATGTTGCATTGACCCTCCATGTTGCTAACCTTTGAGTTAGTTAAATTTTTGAATATTAAATTTTTAAGATTGGATATTGTTTTGATATTTTTTTATTACAGAGAACTAAACTGTCTCCATCGGCATTATTTTTTGTGTTAATGTAAAGGTTATTTAAAAAAAAAATGGAAATTTAGGTCAAGAAAATGATACTCTTGTTTCGTAGATCCATTCTTTTTTCTTCTTCTTTCATTTGTAAATTTTTTCATGAGACATGTTAAAGTCAAGATTACAAACTTTTAGATTTGATTAGATCCGGTTTTCTTTTCTCACCAAAAAAATCTAGATATAAAATAGTGTTGGTTTTGACCCGTGATGTTGCTAAATTTTGAGCTAATAAAAATTGTGAATATTAGGTCAAGAAAATGATACTCTTGTTTGTAGATCCATTCGTTTTTCTTCTTCTTTCATTTGTAAATTTGTTCATGAGATATGTTAAAGTCAAGATTACAAACTTTTAGATTTGATTAGATCCGGTTTTCTTTTCTCACCAAAAAAATCTGGATATAAAATAGTGTTGGTTTTGACCCGTGATGTTGCTAACTTTTGAGCTAATAAAAATTGTGAATATTAGATTTCTAAATTTAAATTTAGATATTGTTTAGATCTAAATTGTCTCTATCAATAATATTTTTGGTGGTAGTATAAAGCTCATTTTTATTTTTGAAATTTGACAATTTGGGTTAAGAAAATGAGATTCTTGTCCATATGGCTACTCAACATGAAATTTGGCAAATAAAAGGGTTAATCAACCAAAAAGAACATGATGGCTATACTTTTAAATATGTCATTCAATATGACTATTCACTGAAATTAACCCAAGATTTAATCAAACATTATGTTAGAATCGAGTTCTAACAAAAAAAACTTCTTTCAAATTAAAAACTCAACACGTGTTGGGATTTGACAACAAAAAAACTCTCTCTCTCTCTCTCTCCACCGAAGGGGCAAATTGCCTTGTATGTTCGGGGACAAAAACCCCAAATCTCGTGTGTTCCCATCTGATTTTCAACAAAAACCCCAAAATCTCTTTCTTCTTCGAGCTCTCAGATTCAATTGTGTGTTCGGAGACTCCAGTCCTTCAAAGCCTTGATTTTTGTTCTCATTCTCTTGTTAAGATTCGCTCCATGAAGAAGGTGCTTCATCGAAGTTTTAAGCCTGCGAAATGGTAATTCGGTTCTCATTTGTCCTCTACTATTTTTCTTTATATCACTAAGTATTTGATTAAATGAGTGAATGATGATTGCCTTTAAAAGTTACCTGATTTATTTTCTTTCTAGTAAAGCAAAATCGCTATAAAATGACGGCTTCGCGCCTGAAAATTCTGAAGAACAAAAAGGATACACATATTAAGCAATTGAGAAGAAAATTAGCTCAATTGCTCGAGTCCAGCCAGAACCAAACGTCTCAAATCCGGGTTAGTCACCAATTGGATTTTATTTTGTCAACATCGAATTTACATTCACAGTATAATCAATAACATGAATGAAAAATTGATATGTAGTCTCGTGTTTTTTCATTTTCACAAAAAAATTGATTTGTTCTATATTCTAAATATTGTTGGACTTGTTGAAGAAACATTATATGTTTCAAAAAAATGATAAGATTTAAAATCTACGGATACAACCTAAACTAATATCTTCTTTGTTTGACATCATATTCAAATCTAAACCTAAAATAACGTGTTGATAAATTGTGTTAATTTGTTTTGGATTTTTATCAGCTTATATAATTTTGTTGATGTTGATTTTCTGATAATAATAACAGAATATTTTATTTGAGTATTAAAGTTTAATACTAAAAATTTGTGTCGAAAAATCTAGCCTAATAAATTGTCCAAGGTTGGGATTTATAAACAACCAAGTGACCTCCGAACCGAACCGAGATGGTTTTTGATCAAAACCGAAATCAATTACATAGGCTGGTTTGACCGGGTCCCACCGCTGCTTCTTCTTCTTCTCTTCACCGATGATGCTTCTTCAGCTCTGAGCCTTTGATTCTTGTTCTTTATCTTCTTCTTCCTCCGAGCTCGTCATCTCGCATAGCCTATTCGATCCTAATCCCCTATAAGATCTCTCGAGTTTGTAGGATTTTTTGCAATTATAGGAAAGAGATCTTTGAAATCGAGAAGCTGAATCTGCAGTTTGATTATGCTTTGGGGAAACCGAAGTAATCATGCAGATCCAGAAACTGTTCTGATGTCGATCAAAGAGGAGACTGAGGAGAGTTGCGAAAGCAGGGCCGTCATAGCGAATCCAAGAATCGAATTACGAAGAAGCTATTTTTGCTGATTTCGATGATCAGCTCTGGCTCCATTTCAACCGTCTTCCTGCGGTAAATTTCTCTGTAACCCTTAGCTCCATAGAACTGTCTCAGTATGATAAGTCTTTGCAACTTGATTGATTACTTTGAAGCATAATTTGAAGCACAATATTATAAAACAGTAACCCTTAACTGCATAGATGATGTAGCGGAAGCTACGATAAACACAGCTCAACCTATGATTCAAGAGAATCAATCGGGACCTGCCAGCTCAACCAAGGGATTTGATATAATCCTCGCTTGGGACCTGCTTCTTGAACTCGTTGAGATTTCTTTAGATCTACCGAAAACAAGGATAGAGAATACTCTTCTCTCAAAGCCTAAGCTCTTTTATTAATAATCAACAACTTAATACAAAAGGAGGCCTAGACGGCTTATTTATAATAAATCTCAAAACTAGAAAACCCTAAAACAATAATAGGAAATTACCAAAATATTAATATAAATAATTAGAATATTTCTAAATATCTCTCTGCATCAATAGAACAGTAACCGTGTTGGCTGATTCAAGCTTGTATCTTATGAATTATAGAAATTGTTTTGATGTTCTTGATGGATGCTTAAACAACAACGTAGAAGAAACTTATGAAGTAGCTCTATAGATGGAACATTTATATGTTAGGTTCTAGATTCATTTAGTACTTGCTCATTATCCCTACTTTGAATTTAAATTTAATACTTGTTCATTATCCCTATTTTGACTCCCGGAGATAAAAAAAATTAATCCAAAAACATTGGCTTTTTTCTTCTTCATTTCGATGGTTCTAAAGAGATTTCATTTGGTTGTTAGAGATGAATCTGAAGCCTTACATTTAAATGTTGGTATATGGACCCGTGGCCGATTATGTTGAGTATTGATAACTGAGTATTTAAGTTTTAATCTTTATGGGGTTCTCTGTTGTTGTGGATGGTTGTTTATGTTGGACTGGACTGAATTTGATTTCATGTTAAAGAATGGACGTTAGTGCTCTTGAAGATACATTTCTGTGAAATCCAAGTTTTTTGTTTGCATACATTTCTGAACATTGTTCCGAAAGCTACCTTGTTTTTCTGTTTGCCGTACTATCTTCTCCTGGAGCTGATTCATTTGCTATTGGTTGTCAGCCATGTTAAACTTGATTCAGGAAATGTACTCGAATCGAGATCCATCTGATTACTCCACGTTGGTTTCAAGTGTTTCAGTCTTCAGACATCACTTGTAGTGCTTTATTTGCTATCTATGTGTTCGTACTGTGATTGGTGTTTTCAAAAATTAAAATCCATTTCCCTTATCTGTTCGAAGAATGATTACTGTATTTTTATCTTTGTAAATTTTTTTTAATCGAAGAAAGCATCTCTCTTTCTTTCTTTCTTTCTTTCTAATCTTCTTGTTGCTTTTCTGGTTTGACGACAAAACATATGCTTTCCCCAAGCTTTGTGGTTTCCAAAAAGGTAATTATGTTCTGATGATTTTGTTCGGTTAATACCAACAAATATAAAATAGAAAACTCATGCTTCTTCCTTCTTTATATGAGCTATGCATATCTTCTTGGAATCATGGTTAATACCAACATTAGTATATCCTCCGGAAACCAATTAATTCTACTCACTCTTTCACTCCTTGTTAGGAGTTTCTTCATTAGTTTTCTCCAGCAGTGTTAATGTTGAACCCTAGACAAACACATAATAGCTATTAGTTTAAGATCTAAAATGTTAATGTCAAAAAATATTTTTGTAAAACATCTTGTTACCTCTTTCTGTTTCGTAGCATATTTTAATACATACTTGACCAAACTATAGAAGACGGAATCATAGCCTTTTCTGAATCCGAAGCAATGTATTACCAAACTTGATATCTGCTTTTTGGTTTGTGGCAGGACATCATCCGATATCATTGAAGCCATTGCTGCAGAGGAGAGGTTGACATATAACTGTGGAAACAATATCCAAGACATCAACATCAGCCAAACTAAAAAGGTTAGAATTCAACGAATGTGCTACTTCATAATGAATACCGATAATAAGTGGTTATAAGACCATCAAATAGATTAGTGAAGTATAACAAAGATTAGTATAATTATAGATACGCAGCTTAGTATAATTATAGATACGGAGCTTTATTCAAAGCTTTATATTTGTTTTATTATACACTGTTTCGTATCTTCTTAGATACACAGCTTCATAGATGGAACAATCACATGTTAGGTTCTAAATAAATTCATTTGTTTTTGCCATGTGTTATGTTTCTCATTTCTTTTAAGTTTGGGTTTCTCCAAATTTGGTCGAAGGTTTGTGCACAACTTTGTCTCGATGCCCACTCGGCCACATGGATGTTCCTTTCAAGATGTTAGACTGGTAAAGCATGTTTTCAATAATATATGTTCTCAATCTAGAAAACATAACTGATTCTTTATAGAGAAAATGGATTAACATAACCTTGGAAAGTTGAAAAATAACTACAATAATCTTTGTATTTTACAAAGGTGTAAAAAGACTTGTAAAGTTTTTAGGAGACCATGTATTACAAAATTACCACTCCATCTTCCTAAACCAAAACCAAAATCAAAACAATTTATCAAACCAAAATCAATACCAAAATTCAATCTAAACCAAAAATCAAAGTTAACCAAAACATAAACCAAAAATTTAATTTTACCTAATTTTGCAATTAAAAAAGTAAAATTTAAAATTTAAAATTAAATACAAAAAACTAATAAATAAAAACTAAAATTATGAAAAAAATTAAAAACTAAAATTTAATAAAAAAAACTAAATTAAAAACTAAAAACCAAAATTAAAATTATTAAAAATTTAAAATTAAAATAAAAATATTAAAAACTAAAAATTAAAATTTAGTACTAAAAAACAAAAACATTAAAATTAAAATTAAATCAGGTTAAACATTTAAAAGTAAAATTAAAAAGTTAAAATTTTAAAATAAATATTAAAAATCAAAAATCAAAAATAAATATTAAAATTAAAAAAAAAATAATAAAAATTATTAATTAATGTTTAATATTCATTAAGAATTAAAATTAATAAAATAATTATTAATTAATACTTTTGAAAACATTTACCCAAAAATACTTTTATTAATTTTAAAATTTTACCCAAAATTAATAATTAACTCTAATATTATTGTACTACAGATAATAAGTCTACATATGTGATAATATACAAATAAAAGTCTACAACTATTACATTTAAGTATACACGTGTTGTATAGTATACAAATAAAAGTCTACAATGAATTGTTACAAAATAAGTCTACCACAACAATAAATAAATCTACCGTGCAACAATAAATCTACAATCAAAGAAAATAAATCTACCACAACATAAACGAAAGATAGTATGTTCCTTAAATCTACAATCAAATAAACAAATCTACAAGACAATGTATAAATCTACAGTAATGTAAACTAAGTCTACCATAACGTAAACATAAAAATAAATCTACGGCCAAATCAAATAAGTCTACAAGAAAACTATAAATCTACGGCTACACAACAATAAATCTACGAATTTATTAATAAATCTACAAAATGCCACTTCGACTTTGACATTTTTAAAAAGTCTACTGCAATATAAATTAAGTCTACAAACATAAATCTACAACAATAGAAATAAGTCTACAAAATCAAAATAACTCTACAAACTTAGTTAAGTCTACGGCAACTAAAAATAAATGTACAACTAAAAGTCTACGAATAATAAGATAAATCTACAAGACGATATAAATCTACAAATTGAAAAATTAGTCTACAGTTTTCATAATAACTCTACGGTCATTGTTTGTAGATTTATTCTTGTAGACTTATTTTCGAAAATGTCTTTTGTAGACTTATTATCCTGGTTCATTAATGGCACTTTCGTAAATACGTTTTTTGTCACCAAAGAAATAAGGGTAAAATCGGGAAAAAAATCTGTTTAAGCCACTTGAATATACAAGAGTTATTGTAGTAATTAACTAACTTTCCAAGGTCATATTCATCAACTTCCCTTCTTTATATTAGAACTTAAAGCATGTAACACATTATGACCGTTTACTTACGTTGTTGCAGCCGCCATGTATTGCTCCTAAACATGAAGAAGCTTGCTTGGATTCACCAACCTGAAAAGAAAGACACCAAGGTAATCAAAGAAATCAATCTTCAGCTGAGGGCAAAACTGTTTGGGATGGACAGAGCGTCACCTTTCCATGCATCAGTTCCTGCTACACAAACTTCTTATCTTCATGGTTCCAATTCTTTCAACATTGATTTCATTCTAGCCATTTGGGATCACTTTCTTTGCTTCTAATTGTTGCTTCAATTGAGTTTCTTCTATTGTATTTTTCTATGGTTTCCTTGTAAGTTTTCACCCTTTTGGGGAGTATTATATAAATGAATGGAAGTTAAAAAAAAAAAAAAAAAAAAAAAAGAAAGACACCATGGTATGTTAAACAAAAAGGAGATGCCACAAATTCCGAAATAACTCTTTGGAACATGGACCTCTAGATTTGTTGATTGATTGTTTTCATGTATGCAGGACTTTAACAAATACTGGACATGATTTATTGGATGAATTCTTACAGTTTCGTCTGCATATATTACCTCCATTATTTCACCAGAGAGTGCCATGAACTGCATCCAAATGTGGAGAACTTTCTCACGGATTCGCCAAGAAGACCTGTAAGGTTTGATATCTTAAGCTTTGTGAAGTTATGAGAAATAATCATACTTGAAAGTAGGATTTTGAGAAAACATGATCGTCTTCCTTCTTCACATCCTGAAACAGATTGAAAATTGCTATTAGAAGAGATCGAGAATGTGATATAAAGAAGTGATTTAGTGTAATTGCCTCATACTGTTATTTTGATCTATGATTTGCATCCGTCTTCTTCTTCATGTAGGTGATGAAATATCTGTTAAAAAGAGAAGATAGTTTTTTATTAGCAAAAGAGATTTATAATATAAAAAACTGGAAGAAAAAAGCATCTGAACTGAAATCAAAAGTCATCTATGTTTGAGTATTAGAAAACTATGAGTTTTTCTAAGGTTTCTTCTACTGTATTTATAGTATTTGTGATGGGAGGGTTTCTTAGGGTTTCAAAATATTAGCACACGCATATTCTTTTGGAGGGATATTCAATCATAAATCTTTGCTTTTAAATTTTGCATAGATTGTGGAAAGACTCCCGTGATTTTGCTTGGAAGAGAATATCTTTTGATTACTGTTAGTGATATCTTGGATTCTAATTTGTAATACACCGATAGTTTTGGAAAGATCGTATTAGTTGATTAGGAAGATTGCAGATTTTTCCGAGTTGGAGTTGAGATTTGGAAGTATGTTAGCTTCGTCTCATAATTATTTTGAAGAAGATTCGATTGGACTTCGGTTATGGGTTTTATTTCATTGATAAGCCTCGATCAAATTCGGTTATGGATCAAACGATTTCCGGTCTGATTTAAGTGTGGCTTAGATCCGCGTGTTTTTTTTGCGGGTCGGGTCGAAAGTCCGATGTCTGTCCCCTTTTAACACTTTCGACACTTTTTCTGAGCATATCCCAGTTTCCAAACAGAGGAGGTCCGAAATGTGTTATGGACAGAAATGACCTCACTCCAAAAAAACCTCATTTGAAAAACGTGGGGGTAAATGGTCTTTTTAACAGGATCCGATCCAGTTTCCTTCTCGGTTATTCTTAGAATTTCGGATAACTGGGATAATTTTCTGTTTGGTGACAGGAATAATTCTAGCATGCACCCTTGATTGCTTATATTTTAATAGTATAGATTAGTGAAATAGCCATGTTTTTAAAGCAGATCTGGAAGGCGTATATGACAACCTCTAAAAGTCTGATCATATGGAAGGTGTCCAAGACACCTCTTAAAAACCAGGACAATTTCTTATATTATCTTACTAGGAGGAAGTCCACGCGCGGAAATATATTTGTGTGTCTACTAAATGTTTTTCTTATTATTAGTAATTTAGTATCTTACTAGTATGGCCTCCCGTGCATACGTACGGGCAATTGTGTTAAATGTAATCATAAAATTTTATTTGAATCAACCTAAAACATTTTTTATTTTACTTTTAATTAAAAGAACAAAATAAAATGCCCAGAAAAGCTAAAGAAATGTGTTCAAACTAAAACCCCATAAAACATAGAAGATGTCTTGAGATTTATGTATGTTGATACTGGTGTCTTGCTTGTTTCAAGTATCGCATGAGTACTTTCCATCCTAAAATTCTTCTTTCTCAGGATTGAAAAATGGTGTTGCTTTGCCGAAACATACATTGCAATCAACATAGTATACCAAGGCAGTTCCTTTTGGAAAGTCAGAATCTCTGCAAAAGTTACGCATGTGGTCTCCTAAAAAAAAAAATTTATAGTCAGAATTGTATAGTTTCCAATAGTTTTCAAAAATTTATATGGTATACGATACAGGAAATTATAGTCAGATTGAATGGAATTAAGTACCGCAGTAGCTGATGTAAAGTTCTCGATTGTTTGCCAGCTGCATAAAGGGAATGAATATAGTTTTAGTTGAACTGGGTACCATCAGTTGAGAAACTGTAGATGAGACAGCTTTATCACTATCACGAATCCTGCATCAAAAGAATACATAAAAGGTTAAAAGTAGTTGAACTAATCGGGATGTTTGATTCTTTGATTTTGTTTCATATATAAGATTTCCTTACTTGGTTTTATATAAAGTAATCTCCTCTATGTCTTCATTGAGATAAACCTTCGTTGAGAAGTGTGAGTTTTGAACAGATAGTTTACCTACACAACATTTAAAACATATATCACGACCATGAGATCAGTCTATGATTAGTAGATCAAACAATAAACTATCAGGAGCTAATCTCAAAGTTATCATAACATAATTTATTGCTTTTCCATGGACATCCTATAACAATAGCTAAAACACTAAACTACCAAGACCGAATTTGAAAAAGTTTTACTAATACATAAGGCATTAGAGATTCCTTTATTGATAGTTTGGGTAAGCGAAATTGTAGATAAATTTTCTTTATTAGAGGTATCGAGTCGGACAAGTATCATACTTGAACCACTGAGTTCTTGACAGGTCTCTCCCGTAGGAAGTCGAATTCGTAACGGCGGGAGGGACATCTGCGTGAGCGGAAAGGAAAGGTAATGTAAAAGTAAAAGATTTTTGAATATTGGGCGAGCAATTATGATAGATTTTTGTGTTCTAATTGAAGAAGGAAGGGCGGTAGATTTATTAGTATATATAGATCTATCTCTTAGTATTAACAGATACTTGACCTTGCGGTAGATATATGAGTTCCGGTTAGTTTTAAATGGACATCTTATTGTAAACTTTTTTCGCAGAGATGGGTTCTTCTACATTGGGGAGGGAAATATCAGGGGAGATTGTTCCCAGCCGGAAAATCTCCTTTGCAAGATCGAAGCTTGCATCACAACTGCAAGTTGACCGAGTTTGGGCAACTGAAGCACTCTGTAGGAGAAGAAGTTTTCAATGACGTTATGAGTACATCTCAAGTGGGAATTATTCTGAAGCTTGCCTCAAGGAGTTACATGTGGTGTGCGAAGACATGTCATAACCTCCTAACACATCAATTGGCTATTGAGTCGAGTAATGAGATATGGTCACTATTTGGAGGTCGGCCAATTAGGTTTTCTCTCCACGAGTTTGGGGAAATCACACAGCTAAACTGTAAAGAGTTTGACCGTAATGATGATTTGCAAGTAGAACACACTTTTTTGGGACCTGGTCGGCATTAAAGATGGGGAAGGACCTTCTTGGCATGAGTTGAACGGAGCGCTTGGCAGATGCAGCACTTGGACGTACGAGCAGAAGAGAATGCTTGCGCTGCTGTTTGTTGTGCACATTGGAATATATGGCATTTCTCGGTCTAGTAGGATTTCTTTTAAGCATGCTAAAAGGGTTCTTGTTCCGGAGTCATTTGAGAGTTATCCTTGGGGCAAGTGGGATTTAAGGAGTTGATGGAGTCCATAAAAGTAGCTAACCTTGATGGGAAGACGTACGTCGTACACGGATGTGTACATGCGCTGTTGATATGGGCATACGAGGCTATTCCAATAATAGGTGAGAAATTTGGTAAGAGACGAGGAAACATTGAAATCCCATTACTTCGGTGGGAATCATGTCGCAACAGATACAATCTGGAAGCATTATTGGAAGAAGAGAAGAAAAAAACCGGTCTGGATAAGGTATTAGTCGTTTGCCAGTCGTGTTGTTTCTTATGATTCGTAAACGACACGATTCTTAGAAGAATGTATTTGTTTACTAAGATTATTTTGTAATGCCCTTGCAGGTTCGAGTTAGGCAGTTAGTGTTGAAACCTCTGGAAGAGATATATCCCGTTTGGGCAGGCGAAGAGGCAGGAGGTGATATCAAGCTTGATAACATGATTCGTGATATTGTTGGAGGCTGTCTGGATGAAAGTTGCTGGGAAACAGAAGAGCAACTGTTGAACAAAAAGAAGAGGAAGAAAAAGTTAGAAGTGGTGGTAGATAGTGATGATGATTTGGTAGAGAAACCTTTGCGAAAGATTTCAAGTAAGAAGAAGGAAGAGCAGAAGACGAAAAAGATGGAGCCGAGAGACTATAGTGATTCTGAATCTCAGAAAAAAACGGAAGATGGGTTAGGTTGGGATGGAAGAGATATAAGAAAACCATCCGAAGGCCTTGCTGATGAAGCACTAGCGAATGTGCTTAACACTATTCTTGAGAAACTGAATGAGCTGGGAAACGAAGTTTGAACTATTGCAGACGAACAAAACTACTGTGGAGGAGGGGTCGACGAAAAAAAGGAATGAAGTAGGCGATGAAGTAGCCGAGGAGAAGGTGTATGATGCAGAGTCTGACACTGTTGGGGAGAACGACGATAAGAAGGGTTGTGAAGCGACTCCGGAACCGGTTAGTTGGTATTTGTTTTAATGCAGTGGTTTTGTTTTCATATTTGAAATACCATTGATTCATGTTTACAATATCATTGCAGTCGTGGTTGCAATAGAGGTTGAAACATCGCAGGAAGGGATTACTATAACCAGAACCATAAGAAACCCGTCATTCGATTATAAGAGACCCACGCAAAGGAAGCTGGAACTGAATGATCCCATGAAAAGTTAGGAGGTGATTCGATGGCGGGGAAGACGCCGTTTATAATTCCACAACTAAGTGATGAAGACGATGAATTTTCTGATGAAAGCATTTGCGGCCAACGCACAAAATCTGGGAAGGCAGGGAAAACAGGACAAAGCAAAGGTGAGGCCTATGCCTTCGCCAGACATCCATTTGTCACCGAAAAATTCATCCTAGATCTGCCGTGAAACGGAAAATGAAAACAGTCCTCAGGCGACGTATGATCCTTTAGAGAAGGTCGATAGAAAGAAGCAAGTTGCGCTCGTCGAATATGTGAAGACATATTTGTAAGTCACCACTATCTAGAAGCCCCGTAGATTAGAGTGGATACATATATATCATTGCACACATGATGTTGATGAGATAACCTTTGTTGCAGGGATAACCCTATCGAAAGTAGCAGTCCAGAGGCAGATTTCTACCTAACCTTAATGACACCCAAAAAAACAGTGGGTCGTAGATGAATACGGCTGGCTTTCCGATATGGTAAATGCGTGAAATTTAGTCATTTTTATGTATGTATGAGATATGTGATGATATGTACTGTATGAAATATGTGAATAAATTCAATGTTTTTCTGTTGCAGCATATGGTCGCGGGTATGAACATGTTCCGCCAAAGGTCATTGCGTAGGCCGTGTCCATATAGAAACGAGAGATTTTTCCTCGACCCTCAGTTCACCAGTTTGTGGTGTATACAGTACAAAAATGACTATCTCGGCCACGAGAAGACGTTTGAATTCTCTATTGGGTTCGAGAACCATTACAACGGTATTGCCCCAGACTGTGCCGTAACCAACAAGAAATGGGTTCAAGATGTTGACACTTTGTACATCACCCATAATATTTGCAATAGTCATTGGGTGGCAGTTGAGGTTATTTGCTAAAGAAGAGGGTAAAAGTTTATGATTCCATCTACTCGGCATTTGAGGAGAATGACGTAAAAGAGTCTGTGAAGCCGTATATGAAGCTGATTCCGCTGCTTTTGAGACACCTCGCACCAAAAGAGGAGAAACAAAAAATGGGCGGGTGCCTACAACTTCTACCTGATAAAGGGTGTTCCGCAGAATGACAAACCGGGGACTGCGGTGTATACACCTGAAGTGCATCGAGTGTTTAGCTCTTGGACGTTGTTTACCGGCATCGACGACACGAATGTGGGTGACATCCGTCTCAAGTACGCTGCTGAGATGATGGATGAGGTGGACTTGTCTGACTTCCTGCAACCGACAATCCCAAAGACAAGCCCGTACCCGCGTGGTACATCTGATGACGCTCGCAGGGGCTGGAGACGGATTCGTTGGATTCGTTGTAGTGAAACCATCGTTTAGGAAGAATGTAATGGTTTAGGAGTTGAGGAGTCATTGTATTAAGTAATTTGGTGTAGTGTTTATGGTATGTTTGTGTGGTATTGGAGTTTAGGCGCCGTCATATATGTAGACGGTTGTAATGGTAACTACATTTTCGAGTGAACCAAGTGACTGCATGACTTGTATGGGTTCGTTAAATTTTTGGTTGAGAGGAAGAAAATTTGTTGCTCTTACCGTGTTTTTGTGGAATATGTAATGGGAAGTGAGACCATAAGCCACGCTGGCAGATGAGTCGTGAAATTGCAGACCGGGATTGCCACTTAGCCGTCTTTGATTGTATCTGTAAACTGGCCACGAAATTACAGTAAAAAAAAAAAGAATAATTTAAATTTTTGACTAAGTCAGATCTGGTGTAGTGTAGAAGAAAGGAAGAGCGTGAGGCTGTTGTGCCATATCCTAACAAAAATTTATCTGAGCTGCCATGTGATCGGCTCAATCTGGACGTATTTGTGTTCTCTTTCATTCGGTATAACTGTTTCCTTTTGGTTCAACTATGGTTTTTTTTTTTTTAAATCAAATAGATCAGAGAAAACATGATGTATAATGTGAAAATAAACCTAACAATTACCATAATCACATGTCTATATATATAAAGTTGGTGTGATTCTCTTCTGCTGGTGACACCTCAGCAAAAGAGACCCCTTCTAAATTCAGCATCTTTCCACATCAGCCATCTCTACTCTCCATTTGATTTATTTTATTTGCTTTTATTATACTTTAATTGTCATACGATGGAAAATCTAAAGTTTCTGCTGTCGCTAAGTGTCTTCAGGAGAGGGAGAGCATGATCTTACTCTTGAAATTTCACATTCTTCGCGCTCAACATCGGATGCAGCAATTCGCAGATCAACACCGCACTGATCGCAGTTTTGACATTGGTGAGTATGTTTATGTCAAACTGCAGCCTTACCGACAGAAGGCTGTTGTCTTACGAGCTAATCAGAATCTTTCTCCTAAGTATTTTGGGCCATACAAGATCATTGATAAATGTGGTGCAGTGGCGTACAAGCTTCAGCTCCCTGCATCTTCTAAAATCCATCCAGTCTTTCATGTTTCTCAACTGAAACTTCAGGTCGGGCCATTTCAAGTCTCAACTCAGCTTCCTTCGATTGTTCGAGATGTGTTGGTGAAAGAACCAGAAGAGATATTGGAACGGAAGATGGTGAATCGTCAAGGACAAGCTGCAACTATGGTTTTGGTCAAATGGACGAACCAACCAGTCGAGGAAGCAACTTTGGAGTTTCTTTATGACTTACAGAAGTCATATCCTTCATTCAAACCGTGAGGACAAGGTTTTTCAAATGGGGGAGATTTGATATAGGATAATTTACATTGTTAGAAAAGTCACGTAATGGGCTAAATTTCCTTTTCAGTTTTTACTTTAAGTCGGTTTTGGGTTTTGGGTGTTCTTATATAAGAATTGTATTTCATTGAGAATCAATATAATTCAGAAAGATTCAGAAAACCTCTTCTTCTCCTTTCATCTATTGCTTCGATTAAAGCTCAATCTAGTTGAGAACCTATTCTTCAATTGCACGTTCTTGCTTGTGAGTTCAAGATCTTTGTTTTAAGAATATTGGTTCTAGTTTCTATCGGTTACTAAGAAATTAGAGTTTACTTCTATCAATTATCTCTGTGCAAATCGCTTGCTTCTGTAAACTGAAATTTTCTCTGAAATCTAATTCCGTGCAATTATCAGGCTTTTGCGAATTAGGGTTTTTCGAAATCCTTCTGTGATATTTTATGTCTCTGTGATTTAGGTTTTCATAGATTATTTCCGCAATCACTGAATCGTGCATAATCGTGCGAAATTAATGATGATAATTGGTTATGTGCATAAATCGTGTGAATTCGTTCTGCTTATAATCTCTGCATAATCGCTTGGCTGATAAAATCTGAAAACGTTTAATGCATATATTGATAAAATCGCATTATGTACGACAACGATTTTATATTATCATTCTGAAAATTATTCCGTGCATAACTCGTATTTAGTTTCGAATTCAATAGTTCGAATTATCCATTCCGTACAGAACATTGGTTTCATATAATGTGCATAAATTGGGTTTAGATATCACCACAGTGACTACATCCTATAATGATTTTCAATTGAAAACCATTGTTTGAATAAAGTGTTTGTATGTGTAGATTAAAGATATCCACAGATAACTTAGTCTAAATAATTCACTGCATCACTTGCTTATGATTCATGAACATGTGACCTTAATGTAGTTATGGTGATTACCCACAGAAATTCCATAATTTTGTCATATGTTTTTAATTTATCATGTGTCTGATTATATTTTGAAGCCTAATTACACTACTTGTTGTATCTCTAACTAGAGCTTTTCCTGCTCACTTGTCATCCATGGTCTCTGTTCCAATCCTCATAGGGACCAACTTCTCAGAATGGAAAGAGAAAGTTGAGTTCACATTAGGAGTACTTGATCTGGATTTGGCACTTCGTCAAGATGAGCCATCCAGTGACTGATGAAAGTACTGAGGAAGAATATCAACTCCATAAAGCATGGGAGAGAGCGAACAGGCTGAAGCATAATGTTCTTAAGGATGACAATTGCTAGTAACATTAAGTCTTCCCTTCCGAGTGCAGATAAAGCTAAGGCTTATCTTGCAGCCATAGAAGAACGGTTTAAGACTGCAGACAAATCCCTTGCTGGGAAACTTATGGCAGATCTTACAACCATGAAGCATGATGGCACAAGGTCTATGCATGAACATTGCATTGAAATGATTAACCTTGCGGCTAAGCTGAAGAATTTGGGACTAAGTGTGGATGATTCTTTTCTTGTCCAGTTTATCCTGAATTCTTTGCCTCCTCAGTATGGACCATTCCAGATCAATTACAACGCCATTGATGAAAAATGGACGTCTAATGAATTGACTAGTAAGTTGGTTCAAGAGGAGTCTAGGCTTGACCGTGAAGGCATTAGGGTTGTCATCATGTCCAAGAAGCTAAACCTAAAGCTGAAAAAATGGAATTAAGTAAGCCATGAAAGAGCACTATCCAGAATTAAAGATTATAATCCACTTATTAAGAAGAAAAACGGCAAATAAAAGCTTTATAGTTTTTCATTAAAATTGCCTTAAAGATAAGATAATTCAAAACAAATAGTAACATTATTAGTTACATAAGTATTTTGAATCTAATCTTACTTATGTTTCTTCTTAATTTTAATGGATTTATAGTAGTGCTTCTACACATGTTTGATGCATAAATTTATCATCAATAACAATTCAAGGGAAACTAGTTCTATAAGGGAAAACGAGACAATCGAGTCAACTAAATTATTGACATTTATTGTCTCATTATCTATTTCCTGGAAATTAGTTTCATTAAGAAAACTTGAGGAGATAGATGTTTTAATATTATTCTGAACTCTGATGGAATTGGTTCTAGAATATTAATTGATGGCCTCTTATGTTAAATTTGGCTGATCAAGATTTTAAAATACATCTCATTGTGCATTCTAAAAGTGGACTTAACTGTCAACATGTTCTTAAGATAAGTATTCCTTGTGGTTTAAAAGACTGGATGGCGCAGCGTCAAGCTTGATAAGCTCAAAGTTCGTTGATTCTTACGAATGGCCGTACGACGAGGTTTCTTGAGTATTGTTGACTCAAGATGAATGCCGATAACAAGAGCGATGAATTGAATAGTTCTAGGTTTATTATTAATAAAAAAGCTGCGTCTCAAAGTACAAATATTGGAATCTTAAATAGAGGGTAAACCCTAACAGAAAAGGAAAAGCTTAGCAACAAGCAAAAGGAAATTAAGAAGTAAAACCAAAGCCCAAAGTTTAAAACCCAAACAAAATACGATAGACGAACACAAGACGTTAAGTCGGTGTTCATATGATAAGATGCACTGCATCAGGTCTCCCCTGCTAAGAAAATATTCGGCTCTGAATCTGGAATGTCATTATTACCGAGGTAGCGTTTAAGGTACTTGACGTTGAACACATTGGCGGTCTTGATCTCCGGAGGAAGCTAAAGACGGTACGCGTTATTATTGATGCGCTCCACTACTTGAATAGGACCAATCTTACGTGAACGGAGCTTGTTATATTCATGCAAAGGCATGCAATCCTTAGTCAGTACCACCCAAACTAGATCACCTGGTTCGAATATCACTTCACGTCGTCGAGAATCAGCTCTGGACTTATATTTCTCGGCCGAATGAGAAAGATTGGTAGACACCTGTTCATGCGTAGCCTTTAAAGCATCTACAAAATCTGAAGCTTGACCATGAAGACGAGATGGATCAGGCATAGTAGTCAAGTCCAATGGTCCTCGCGGCACAATGTTGTAGACGACCTGAAAAGGACTAAAACCGGAGCTTCTATTGGTAGCATGATTATGAGCAATTTCTGCTTGACATAAACGAGTTTCCCAAGCTCGAATGTTCTCACCAACAAGGCTTTGTAACATGTTTCCAAGAGAACGATTTGTCACCTCCGTCTGGCCATCGGTTTGTGGGTGATATGCAGTGCTCATATCAAGCTTCGTATTGAGCATCTTCCACAAGAAACGCCAAAAGTGACTCAAAAAGCAAGTATCTCGATCAGAGACAATAGAAGTAGGCAACCCATGGAGGCGGTATATCTCTTGAAAGAACAATTGTGCTACTTTAAAGGCATCCGTCGTCCTTTTGCAAAGAATAAAATGCACCATCTTGGAAAAGCGATCGACAACAACAAAAATGGAGTCATTACCTCGTTGTGTGCGCGGGAGTCCAAGAACAAAATCCATACTTACGTCAGTCCACGGTTGTGTAGGAATAGCTAATGGGAGATAGAGGCCTGCGTTGGTAGCTTGACCCTTCGCCAACTGACACGGACGACAACGTTCCACAAATCGCTCTACGTCTCTCCGTAACGATGGCCAATAATAAGAGGACGATACTAGCTGCAATGTTCTATCACGTCCCACATGTCCTTCAGAGTGGAGTTCTTCAATCACACGTAATCGCAAGCTGCAGTCTGGTAAGCACAATTGAAAACCACGAAAAAGAAATCCATCCGAGAGGAAAAAATCATCACGTGCACCAGCTGTAACCTCAACATAGACTTTAGCGAAGAAAGGATCGGTCACATAGAGATCCACAAAAGAAGAAAACCCAGGAACAGATGTGTGCATCGTTGTCAAGAGAGTGTGTCGTTGACTCAACGCATCAGCCACACGGTTAAGTTTTCCAGACTTATGGCGGATCGTAAACGTAAACTGCTGGAGAAACGCGATTTCCAAGAAGCATGTCTAGCAGAGACCTTGACCTGATTATCAAGATGTTTCAAAGCATCATGATCTGTGAACAACACAAAATCTTGATGGACAAGATAGTGACGCCAATGTTTAATCGCTTGCACCACCGCATAAAGCTCAACATCGTAAGTACTGTAACGACTACGAGCTCCAGAAAGTTTCTCACTATTGAAGGCAACTGGACGAGACGATTGGTTCAACACTGCACCAATCCCCAACTTAGATTCGTCACAATGAAGCTCAAACGTGGATTCAAAGTTAGGAAGAACGAGGACAGGAGCTGAAGTGAGCTTCTCTTTGATCAATGCAAAAGATTCTCTCGCCGCTTCGGTCCACAAAAACTTGGTGTCTCGCATGCAATCAGTAATAGGAGCCATGATTGTACTAAAATGAGACACAAATCTGCGATAAAAGGAAGCCAAACCGTGAAAACTTCTAACCTCCGAGACAGTACGCGGTTCTAGCCACGAACGGATAGCATCAACCTTGCCCACATCCATGGATAAACCATCACTCGATATCATATCCCAGAAATAAGACGCTATCAACACCGAGCTCACATTTTTGCCGAGCCACAAAAAGTTGTTCTTGTCGCAAAATTAATAGCACTTGACGTAGATGATCCACATGAGCCACCATAGACGAACTGAAAATAAGAATATCGTCGAAATAAACGACAACAAACTTACCAATATATGGTCGTAAGGCTTGATTCATTAGTCTCATGAATGTACTTGGTGCGTTCGACAAACCAAAAGGCATCACCATCCATTCAAACAAGCCTTCCCTCGTCTTGAAAGCAGTTTTCCATTCATCACCCGGTCGGATTCTGATCTGGTGGTAGCCACTTTTGAGATCCAACTAGGAAAACACCACTGCACTGCCGATTTGGTCAAGTAAGTCGTCGAGACGCGGAATCGGAAAATGGTAACGCACCGTGATCTTGTTGATTGCTCGACTATCAACACATATTCTCCAAGATCCATCTTTCTTCGGAATAAGAAGCGCAGGCACCGCACAAGGACTCAAACTCTCTCGAATGTGACCCTTCATGCTCCAATGGGACTCATACGGTAGTGAGGACGGTTTGGTAACACAGAACCGGGAATCAAGTCGATGTGATGATGGATGTCACGGAGAGGAGGCAACTCTTTAGGTAACTCTGCTGGAAATATATCAGCAAATTCGTTCATCAAAGCCGCCAAAGGAGGAGCCCAAACAGAGTTATCCGAGGTAGCACTTGGTTTGCTTATCAATGCCAAAGCAAAACCCAACTCACGAAATTCTGATTCAAAGTCTGATTTACTGCAAAACAGAACCTTATTCACCACACGTGGAGGTGGAGCTGTGACAACTTCGTGCTTCAACGGCGGAGGTGGTAAACGAGGTACCGACGGGTTAGGTGTAAGCATAAT